TATGATAATAATAATATTAATAATAATAATAACAATATAAATGATATTAATTTAATTCTAATCCAAAAAATAATGATAATGATAATATTAATAATTATAATAATAATAAATAATATTAATAATAATATTAATAGTAATTATAACAATAATAATAATAATAATAATAACAACAACAATAATAATAATATAATCAACAACAATAGTAATTTCAATAACAATAATAATATCAATACAACCACAATAAATACAAATAAAACTACCACAACCACCACAACTACAACTACAACTACAATTGACAAAATTAATAATAAATATTCAGAATCAAAAACAAGCGCACCATCAACATTAAAAAGGAAATTATCTGAATTAGATGATTTAAAAGATAATCCAAGAGATAAAAAAAAATTAAAAATTGATCATTCTAGTAACGAAATCGATATACAACCAACCAGTTACTCAAAAAATAGTTCGACAGAAGTTAATGTAAATAAAAAAGAAGAAAAGAAAGAATATACTGGTAATAATATAATTATTCAAAACGACTTTGAAATTTTTTTAGTTAATTTCGAATCAGTAAAAATTGATGTTATCCAAGAATTAAAGTTGGATAATAATAGAAAAAAAATATTTTCCATTAACTTATTAGACCATTATATCTCAGATGATGGTTTATTAAAAAAATTGGCCTGTGGTCAAAAGGATTGTATTTTATTCAATTTATTAGATTTTTTATTTACCTCTGGAAATCAAAGTTATACTGGCCTTGCTAAAAATAAAGCTTGCGCATTATTCTCAAAAATTATTATCAAAGAATGGTTCAACGAAGAATCATTAGAATACATTGAAAAGTGGATAACTTCACTTTACAATGTTTTGTTAGATCCAAAGAAATCATCAATTAATAACATAGTGTGGGTTGTAAAAATTTTTGGCCATTTCGATAGAATTAAATATGAAAATGGTTTTAATTCATTAAATAGTAGAATACAAATGGCAATCGATAGCATTTTTAATATTTCAATAGAGGTTCTTAATTATTTTAGTAATTCAAGAAAAGAACATTCAAAGAGTCCACAAAATTCATCTAATAAAACTCTTATAAATGAAATAGTAGACACAATCTTTTCATTATTTGGTTTAGTTAGTGGTCCAATTCGTTCAAAAAATTTACAAATGGTTTTAAATCTCTTTAACAGAGTAAATTCTCCAAAATCTTTTGAAGTCAAGAAGTTTTTGGTTAATTTAATTCCATTTTTTGAATATAAAGATTTAGTTATGGTTTTGGAATACTTCAATTTAAGCCATAAAAAGCTAATTTCAAGTGGTAACTCTAATAGTCCAATTGATGCTCAATCGATTCAATTATTCTTTTCCAATATTTTAGTAGTTGTTGAAAGAACACAAAGTTGTAGTTATAAACACCAAGAATTGGATATTATATTAAAGCTAGTTCAAGAATCAATCAAGTTCTCTGGAATTCTATGTTACATAAATACCCTTGGTTTTTTTGCAAATAAGCTCTCCGACTTTACAAATATCCAAAACAAAAAAGAAAGATTTCTCAAGCTCAATTCAATAAAATGGTGTTTAAGCTGCTTCAAAAAATCAAACCCTAATCCAAAATTAGATAGTATTATTTCCAATATAGAAAAATTAATTGATAAATCCAATATAATAGATTAAATCATCATAAAGAAGCTCAACCGAATCATTTAATATAAAAATTTTAGACCTTTTTTTTAAATAAAGTATTTCAAGTGGTAATTCTCATCGTAATTCAAATGGTGATTCAAGTGGTATTTCACATCGTATTTCAAAAGTTGGTTCAAGTAACCGGTCAAGTAGTGGTTCACGTGGAAGCGTACATCGTAATTTAACAGTTGGTTCAAATAATCGGTCAATTGGTAGGTCAAGTAGTTCAAATAGTAGTTCAATTGGTGGGTCAAGTAGTTCAAATAGTAGTAAAAGTAATTGGTAAAAGGGTGATCCAAGCAATATTTTAAATAGTATCTCAATAGTATCTCAATTAGTTAATTAAATGTAATTGGTTCAAGATTTATTCATAGCTATCGCCCTGTTGTATTTTCCTATATAGTAGAAATAATAACTTTAGGTATATTATCTTTATTTATATTTTCATTTATATTAAACTATATATTAATAATAGAATAATCTCTTTATTTTATTTTTTGTTTTAATTAATTATATTTAGTACTATAAACGTTGTAATATATAATCACTCAACATAATAGCAATGCAGTATAGCCAATTTATTTTTAAATAAAAATTTTATTTTTTTAAAATTTCTTTTTATTTAAAATAAAATTTAAATTTTTTCTTTTTTTTCAACACATAAATATTTCAAAAAAAAAATATATTAATAGCTTTAAAAAGTCTTCAAGTAAGTAAATAAGCAAATTTTTTAAAAATAAAAACAACAAATCTATATAAAAATGGGATTCGTAGATGAACACAATACTAACACAAATTTTTATTAAATTTGGTATAAATCAAGTATTATAACCTGTTTTATCAAGTGTTAATCAAACAGAGCCTGATTCGAGAAGTTTATGATATTGGTAGCTCAGAATCAGTTTCATCAAGTGTAGAAACCATTGTATCAAGTAGTGCTTAAGAATCTTTTACACCAGGTTGTGGATTATATGTTTATCAAAGGTAAAAGTACCGAATCTGCTTCATCAAGCTGTGAATAATCTCTGGACAAAGTATTAAAGTCTATTGAATCCGATAGTTTAGAATCATGTTTCATCAACCTCTGTTTTAGAAAAAGTGTTATCAAGTGGTATATATTCCAAACTCATCAAATAATATGGGACCTACTTTGCCAAGTTGTGCAATATCTGTTGTATTTTTAGTATATGTGGTCGTAATGCAAAGCTTGTCATCAAATATTTATATCAAGTCAACACTAATAAAGTTAATCAATCTAATCAACTATTTTATGAATATCATTAGTTTGCTCTGGCCAAGCAGCTATGATAGAAATAAAATTGTTTTATGAAGAGAAGGTAAAAAACACTGAAGCTTTCGTAATTATTGACCAAATTAGGGAATATCAAAAATCACCACTTCTAGAAGTCCACTAAACTTTAATGTTCATTCACCATAAAAACAACCACAAAAAAGATCTGGGTACAATTGTTTATAACCAATCAATATTTCTATAAACCAAATTAATTATAATATTATAAATTTAAAACAATGATTATCATATAAAAAATAAAAATTATTAGAAAATTAAATAAAAAGAAAAGTGATTTAACAATTACTTTACTATTAAATTTCTTTTTCATTTTAACAAATATAAAAATTTTATTCATTTATTTATTTATTTATTATTTTTACCAAAATACAATATTATAAAATAGATTTGTTTATTACATGAATACACATTTCTTATTACTATTTATTTATATTTAAAATACACTAATATATACCCATGCAAATACACATGACCATATATATATTTAAATTAAATTTCATGCCTCTTTTTTTTTTTTTTTTTATATTTAATAATTTTTTCACTTTTTTTAATTTTATTTTTTTTTTTTTAAATTTTTTTTAAATTTTTATATTTTTTGTTTATAAAAGATAATTAGAATATTTATTTATTTGTAATTTTCTTTTTTATTTTTTTTATTTAATGAATTCACCAAGAAATCCTGTAATAAAGTTTTTGTTAGAAAATGGAGATAATTTAAATCTTTTAAAGGCTTTAATTACATTTTTGCCAGGTCGTTATGGTGATAGTGAACTATTCACCGAAGGAAGTAAGTGATATCAGTATAAACACCATAAATATTCATCATTTTATAAATTCTAATGAATTTCACACTCATACACAACATAAAATCACATACATATATATAGTTTATAGTGGTATGAATATTTTCCAATCATATTTGGATTATTTATCATCAAATATTATGATGTCAAATAACCATGCAAAAACATCAGAGGGTCACTATTTACCGCCACCATATTACCTATCAACTCTTAAATGGATCACAACAATAAGGAATTTAGAATTATTTTTAGAAATTTTTGCAACTAAAAAATCTTCAACTGGAAAAAAAATTGTAATTTTTTTAATCGAGTTTATAAAGTAAATAATTAAAAACATAGGTATTTGGAAATTATGTATATATATATATATATATTAATATATTGTTTATATAACTATAGGGCAATTTTAAGGGTTCATTTATTACATAAAACCAATGGAAATATGTTGGTTCATCATTCATTTTATGTGCCATCAAAAGATGTTGCTGAAATATTTAAAAGGTATTTAATTAATTTAAAATATAATAAAGTAAATAATTTTTAATATGTTAACATTTTGTTATAATAAATAGAAATAGAAAGCCAAATCATACTAAACATTCAGCATTTTCAGTTAGTAATAGTAATAATAATAGCAATAATAATAATAATTCAGAATTTCGAACAGGTAAAAGAAAAACTCTTTCAGATCAAATCATGGAGCAAAAAAGATTGGAAAAACAAGAGTTGGATGAAAGAAATGTATTGGACCAACAACAAAGGGAGGATCAACAATTAGAAGAATCGACACTAATTAGATTATTACCACCTTCACCACCTAAAGATTATAATACCAAAGTAGTTGGTGAATTATTGTATATTTTTAGACCTGTTATTTATTGTAACTATTATAAATACCCAAGTCAATTTTTACAAAGGATAAAATATTAACTATAATTTTATTATACAATAATTTAGGGTTCTTATATTGCATTTTTGGGAAAAGATCATGGAAACCATGGATAGTTTCGTTTTCTCTCGAGTTTTTAAGTAAGTCATTCTCAGAGTATGGACTTTACACACACAAAATACCTCTTACAAATTTGGAACAAAAAGAGTTGGCAAGAAGAAGAACCTTTTTTTTATTTTATTTAATAAGATCACCATTTTACGAAAAATTCATTGGTGATGGTTTTGTATTAAAATTATTTAACCTTTTCAAAAAAATCCCAATTTTTAAAACTTTAGTTGGTAAGTTTCATTTCTTTATAATATTTTGTATACACAATATACATTTTTACTAATTATTATTTTATATTTACACATTTACATATTTAGATATCTTATTTAATTATTTAAGTGTATATAGAACAAGATACTTTTATACCTCTGCTTCATAATCATTTTATATATTGCAGTAATATTATAAAAATAAAATTTTAATTAGAAATAAAAAAAACAAAAATAAAATTAAAGTAATATCATAAAATTATTATTTAATATACCAAATAATTAATAACAAAAAACTATATGTAATATTTTATATTTATTTTGTTTTTATATTTATATTTTTTAAGAATTTGTTGAAACTCTTTTTACAAAACTCTTTGAATCTGTTATATATCTGATCCATCTAGTTGGTGAAACATTGGAGCCTAACATTCTTAAAAATTTAATTTGTAAGGTACTACAACTAAATTGGGGCATTGAAAATTCTAAACCTATTGGACCAATTTCTTTTTTAATGGTTGAGTTTTCTATATTATTACTGTTATTATTATTATTTACATTATTTGAATGGGTTGGCGATGTTGGGCCATCGACTATGATTGATAATCTTAATGTAGTTTCCATACCACCTCTTAGTTTTTTAATACTCCAAAATATTGAGTTTGAATTTGGTGTTTGTTTAAATTCGACAGTTTGATTTTGGTAACCATAGTCTAATGAATGTTGGCATGATTTTGTAGATTTTGGAAGTGGTATTGATACAGATACAAAGTTTGGAACTACTTTATTTGAAAAGTTGGATCTAATATTTACGACTAAATCAAATTTATTCTTTTGGGTTGATTCCAGGTTGGTCTTGACAAGGAATGGTGAGTATTCATTATGTGAAATACGATATTTTAATAATGTGAAATCGCCTTGTGGTGGTCTGAAATTGATTATATTATTTTGATTATTATATCCTCCGTTATCAACAAAGCCTGATCCTGCACATTCGTGAAAACTACAATCGTCAATTACAAATCGGTTAGGATTGTCTAAATTTGGTTGTGTAGTTTCATTTTCGTTTTCATTTTCAAAGCTGCTTGCTGTTCTATTGCTATTTGTTTTGAATAAAAATTCTGGGCTAAGGCCTAATGATAATACCGGGTTGCCTTTTAAATAGCTCTTCATTTGAATTTTACCAATAATTTCATTTCTTAAAACTTGTCCATTCGATGCTATAAGTATTGTTATTCTTTCGCATAAATCTATATAAATTTCATTTTCGGTATTGTTATTATTACTATTATTATTTTCAATTGAGTTTGAATGAATTGGTTTAACACTCGACTTTGGAGTAGCAGAGTTTTTGTTTGGAGTTGCCTAATAAATATTAAATAAAGGTTGGTATTGGTTTTCTTTTTGTTTATATATAGTTATGTGTATCTATTTATACATACTAAAAAGTTATCAATAATTGATTCAGACTCTTTACTTTTAATTGGTTTTGGTGGTGTAAATACAAATGCTTTCAAAGTTTCGGTACTTGTTGATTGTGGCACACCATAGTCCATAAGTTCATCTAATAATTCATAAATTAATATAAAATTTAATCTGATTGCTTCTTCTGTTAATGATGCTGTATAATCTTGAATAATTTTAGAGGCTCTATTTAATAACTCGAATGCTAATGATGGCGATACCAATTGTCTTGTTGTAAAAACAAAGTACATTTCTCTTTTTTTAATATATAAATAATTTATATCATTTATGTTCTATTTGAAATAAATATTAATATTTTAAAATTATTTTAAAACTATTATTATCTCAATGATCACTTACAAATGATGGAGTTATATCGGATTTCATTGATAAAATGTATTTAAAAAATGTGTCATTGCTATCCTTGGGTATGTCGAATCTGTCTTTAATAAATATAGGGAGGGTTAGTTTTTAAAAAAAAAAAAAAATTTCTGATTTAAAATGGTACATACAATCTTTGAATATAATGGTATCACCTTTATTATTTAAAATAAAGAATTGTGAAAACATTTTAGTTTGATATACACTACTAATCGTTGATTAATATACCAAACGAAATTACAATAGTTTTTTTTTTTTTTTGAAAATAATAATTTTTTAAAAAAAAAAAATTAAATTTTTTTATATTTTTTTTTTTTTTTTAAATTTTTAAAAATAAAATAAATATTAAATTTTCATTTTTTTTTTTTTTATTCAACAATTACATAAAAGAAAAAATGGATAGAAAAGAAGAAGGAACAGTTGAAGAGCCATTAGATCTCATTAGATTATCATTAGATGAAAGAATTTTCGTTAAAATGAGACAAGATAGAGAATTAAGAGGAAAATTACATGTATGTTAATATATATAGTGTTCAATAAATAATAATTTAATATTAACCCATTCACTTATGAATATCAATAATAGGCATACGATCAACATTTAAATATGATTCTTTCAGATGTAGAAGAAACAATCAAAGTAGTAGAAAAAGATGAAGAAACAGATGAGGAAATTATTAGAGTATGTGTACTATTATATTATTATTAATACAATAAACTTAAATCAAACAAAAATAAAAAAGATAAAAAAAGAGATAAATCTAATTTCAAAAGTTTGGTTAATTATAAAATCATTTTTTAAAATATATCATACTAATTAATTTTTTATTTTTAATTATTGGCAGAACATCAAACGTAATATTAAAATGCTTTTTATCCGTGGTGATGGTGTAATTTTAATTTCACCACCATTAAGAACATCCTAATTTTAATTTATTTTTATCATAACTAAAAAAATAATAAAAAAAAAAAAAAAAATAGTAGAAATCAAAATCTCTATTATTTGTATAGATAATCCTTTCCTATAATTATTTTTTAAATTTAATAGTAACAGTTTTTATCAAATATTATTAATCAATCAAAATTACTATTTTTAAAAAATAGTAAAATCAATATTTTAATTATCATTATTATTATAAATATATAAAATAATCATTGGACGAATATTATGTATGTCTATATTTATATTTTAATTATTTTTTTCATATTTTTTTTATAATAATTCCATTTTTGGAAAAATTAAATATATATTAAAATTACAAATAATATATTATTTGTTTATTTATAGTTTATGTTTATTTATTATTATTTTTTTTTGTTTGTTTATTTTACCCCACTACCAAAAATAATTTTCATAAATGTGAATTCATAAAAAAAAATTCTATAGTGGGTTAAATTAGTAAAATACAAATATTCAAAAATAAATCTCACATTAACCCCACTTTATTCATACACACTCACATTCCCCCACACTATTTTTTTAATGTTACATTGTTCTTTTTTTTTATCATTGGTTATTGTTTTTATTATTTACAAAAAAAAATAATTTGTTTTATTAATATTTTCTCATTAACACTTAATTATTATCACCAAAAAAAAAAAAAGGTATATATTTAATTTATTTGTAAAATATTAAATTTGATCATTATAACAACAATGGAAATTATAAAGAGAATGTAGTGTGTTAGTGTGGTTTTGATTATATAAATAAATTAATAATAATATTGAAAAAAAAAATAAAAAAAACAGTAATAATATAAACACACACAATGAAAATTCATAATGAATAGTAAGTAAGTGTGTGAAAGTGTGGTAAATTAATTATTTAAAAAGTGTAATAGAGAACAAATAAATAAATTATCAACAATAATACACAAAGAATATTTGAAAACTCTCATTATTGTTTTTTTTTATTTTTATTGTTAACCCCACTACTACTTTTCATACTCATATTACATACTATATTAATATTACTTTTCATCATACATAATAATATAATTATGATCTTTATTTAAATATTTTTTATTAATTTTTTTAATTTAATTTTTAATTTATTATTATTTTATTTTTTTTTTTTTCATTTTTTTTGTTCTCTTTTTAAAATTATTATTTTTACATTTTTTTTATTTATATTTTATATTAGTTACATATAATAATATATATCAAAAAAAATATTATAAAAACACAGTAATAGTAATAGTAACATTATAACAGTAATAATAATATTTATAAAATTAAAAATTTTTTTCATTATAAAAAATTTGTAACATTAAGATTTTATTTTATAAAAAAAAAAGTAAATACAGATATTATTGGATTTAGGAAATTAAAATAAATAAAAAAGATATTAATAGTTTATTTTTTTTTTTTTTTAATATAATTTAGGTATTTTTTTTCAAATATATATAATTTAAAAAAATGAGATTATATCTTTTATCTCTAGTTTTGGTGTTATGGGTTGGTATGACTTGGGCACACTATGACCCAAGAAATAATAACAACAATAATAACGACTGGAACAACAACAATAACAACGACAACTGGAATCAAGGTGGTCACCACGGAGGTCATCATGGAGGTGCTTTAGCTTGTAAGAATTGTAAAGTGGGCGAATATTGTGCAATTCAAAACGGTAAAGCTCAATGTTTGAAGAAACCAACACCACCACCACACCATGGTGGTCATCAAGGTGGTAACGATTGGGACAAAGGCAACCAATGGGGTCACAAGAATAACAATGATTGGGACAAGGAAAACCAATGGGGTAACAACAATAACAATGATTGGAAAGGAGGAAAAGATAAGGATGATAAGGGTCACCATGGTGGTGGTAGCTGGGGTGGTGGTGATGAATGGAATAATGGAAAAAGTCACATTTTATGTGGTGAATCCTTCTGTCCACCAGGTCATAAATGTTTAATTCAACATGGCCATGCTATTTGTAGAAAAATTCAAGGTCATCAAGGTGGTGCATGGGAACATGGTTGGAATCACCACCATAAACCACAAAAACCAAGATGTGGTAGAGATGGTTTCTGTAAAGAAGATCAATATTGTGCAATGGTAAACCACGAACCAAGATGTGTTTATTATCCAAATGACAATGGTCCACAATGTGGTGGTCATTTCTGTAGAGAAAATCAAATTTGTGTTTTAGAAAATGGTGTATTAAGTTGTCTTAATAGTCCAAATGGAGAGGAGAGAAGTATGTATAATTAATTTAAAATATAACAATTTTAAAAAATTATATATTAATATTAAATATTATTTTTATAGCTAACTGTGGTCAATTCCATTGTAACTGGAATGAATATTGTATTATGGTAAATGGTTATCTCCAATGTAATTCTAATAATGGAACAGCTCCATTCGCTTGTGGACTTACAACTTGTAATCCACCAGAATTATGTATTACTATTGAAGGTTGCAAACAATGTGTTGGCCCACCAAAACCAGAATGTAAATATTATTAATGATTTTTAAAATATATTTTTAATAGTAAAAACTAATTGTAAATTTTTTTCAAATAGTTAACTGTGGTAATAAGCACTGTAATCCTGATGAAGAACAATGTATTAGAATCCAAGGTGTCTATAAATGTATTCACAAACGTCAAACCTGTGCAACAAAGAAATGTGATACTGGCAAACTTTGTATTATGGTAAATGGAGATGCTCAATGTGTTGTCCCTCCATCAACACCACCACCATCATCATCTGATTCATCTGCTTCATCTGCTGCTTCATCTGCTTCATCTGCTGCTTCATCTGCTTCATCCGCTGCTTCATCTGCTTCATCCGCTGCCTCATCCGCCTCATCCGCTGCCTCATCCGCCTCATCATCAGCATCGTCAGAATCATCATCAGCTGCACCAACAACCACTACTACTGATGCAGCCACTACTACTGATGCAGCCACTACTACTGCTGATGCCACTACTACTGCTGATGCCACTACTACCGCTCCAGCCACTACTACTGCTGATGCCACCACTACTGCTCCTGCAACCACTACTGCCAAATTCGTTATTCCACAAAGAAAAGTAGCAGAAAGATCAAGAGGTTCAGTCAACACAATTAGAAGTGCTAAACCAGCATCACGTGATTCTAGACCAGTTAATCACAACGTTAGACCAGCTGCCCATGCTAAACCAAACAACAATGCTAGACCAGCTGCTCATGCTTCAAAACCAGTTAACCACAACGCTAGACCAGCTGCTAACAACAGACAAAACAATAACATTCGTAACCGTCATTAAACATATAAAGTAATAATATAAATAATTTATTAAATTATAATTCTTTTTTAAAACTAAAAAACAAAAAAATAAATAAAAAAAATAACATTTTAAAATTAAATCTTAAATTTTTTTCCAAATGTTTTTGAACTAACCAAATAAAATGATCATTATTATCAATCCGCTAATTTAATTTTTATATTATTTTTAAATTATTTTTTTTATTTTTTTATAATATTTTTTAAAAAAAAATTTTTATTTAATTTTTTCAATTTTTTATTTTATTTTTTCAATTTTTTATATATTTAAACACACAATGAAAAGAATTTTAGTTCAATCTTCAAGAATCTTATTAAAACCAAATAATAACAAGCTTTTAAATAATATTAGATTGTTTTCATCAGCAACTTCTAATACTAATCAAAATAATAGTTTTAGTTACAATAAATCACACGAAAGCAAAGTATTATTTAATGATCCATCATTTTACAGTGAAGAAAAATATCAAGGTATTTCAAAAGAAGGATTTCCAAAAGATGTTACAGACGTTTTATTAGCAGAATTAAACCCAGTTGATATTGAAATTAAACCAGATGGTTTAATTTATTTACCAGAAATTAAATATAGACGTATTTTAAATCAAGCATTTGGACCAGGAGGTTGGGCATTAAAACCATTCGGTCCACCAGTTGTCGAACACAAAACATTAATGAGACCATATGCTCTTTATTGTCAAGGTAGATACGTTTCAGAAAGTATTGGTGAACAAGCATATTTTGAAGGTTCATTCATTTCTTTTGCCACTGCTACTGAAGCTGCCAAATCAAATGCTTTGGTTCGTTGTTGTAAAGATTTAGGTGTAGGTTCAAGTCTTTGGGATCCAACTTTTATCCGTCAATGGAAATCACTCTATGCAACTGAAAAAACTTTTGAAAATGTCAAATCAAAGGATAGAAAAGTATTTTGGGTTTTAAACAATGGTATCCCAAACCAACTCCCATATCCATGGAAAGAAGTTGATTATTCCAGAGTACCACAATCCTCCCAAGTTAACCAACCAATACAAGAAACCATCACTTTTGATGATAATTTAAATAAAATTCCAAAATCAACTTTTAATACTGAAAAAGAAACTACCAGAACTACCACTGAAAAACCAGAAACAACCAATACTACTACCGTCACTGAAAAAGATGAAGAAGAAATTGACTTTGATGTTGATGACCTTGTACCACCACAATTTAAAAAATATGCCGGTAAAACCTGGAGAGAACTTTTGGGTGATCCAAAAGGTATTAGTTATTTAGGTTGGGTTGCTAAATCCTTTGACCAAAACTCACCAATTAGAAGCCAAGCCTTAGCAATTCTTAGTTTTATCGAATCCCAAAATAACAACCAACAAAATCAATAAATATTAACATTATATTAAAAAATAAAAAGAGATAATTGGTTTTAAAATTTTTTTTTATATATTATTTAAATATTTAAATAATTTTGATCTACTATATACATTTTATTGGTTTTTTTTTAAATAAATAGATAAAATAAATAGATAATAAATAGATAATAAATAGATATTATTTATAGTTATTATTATTATTTTAGTTGTAAATTATTTTTATATATAATTAAAAGATTATCTTATTAAAGCTATTAAGGATGAACCTTGGAATTTACCAAATTTAGTTGTAAAGTGGTCTAATTCTCTAATTAAAGATGGAGAGGCCATTTCTAATTTCTTTTAATGTACCATTGATATTTAAAGTTTTAAAGATTTCTGAATCGATTAAACTAATAGTTTCCATACAAATACGCTTTAAACGTTTTGATAAAAATCTATCCGAAATTTGCATTAAAATGCAAATATTGTCAAATGCAATTAAACCACTATCAAATAATTCCCTTTCGTTCTGTTCTTTTTGTACTGTTGATGGCACTTGTTCTACTGCTACTTGTTCTTTTTCTTGTTTAATTTCTATTGACTTGGTTTGTTCTTGTGGTTGTTTATAATTGACAAAATTGAATAGATTTTTTTTATTTGATAATACCATTTGCTCCAAGTGGTGCTCACAGAGATACTTTAAGTCTTCAATCATAAATCTATCGGCTAAGCATAGGATATCTACAGCATTTTCATCATTTATAATGTTTTCGTTGTTACCATAAATATATTCTAATATTAGCTTGAAAGTCTTTTCATCATTTATTTCATCACCAACTAAAAATTCATTTTGGTCCTTTTCTTTGAATGAGCATTCGAACATTGTTTTAAAGTAAAGATTTCTTTGGGCCAATATAAACTTATGGGCAGGAATTGAACAGTCATCGGTTGGTTTGATTTTGAATTTTAGATCTGCTTTTTCTAATTCGTTGATACTTTCAATTATTTCTTTGGAGAATGTTGATTCTGGAATCTTCTCAACCTTTCTTAATCTATAGGTGTACGATTTGCAAAGAGCGGCTAAACGTGTTAAACCCATTTTTAATGCCAATGCAGCAAGTTCACCTCTAAGATGAGGTGCAATAACTAAATGATCGGTATAAATATAATTTAAGAAGCCAATAAATATTTGATATTTGATTGATGGATCCATATCGACTGATTCAATTAATTGACCATTTTCATTGTATTCTTTTTCCTTTGGGGTATTACTGATATATCTTTTATTAAGCAATATCATTGAATATAGCTTTGGACAACGAGTTTTAATAAAGAATGAATGGGCAAAAACTTTTTTTTCTTGAACAGTGAATGAAATATCGCTGTATTTCTTTTCATTGACTAATCCTTTATAATCGAATGCAAATGAAGTTAAATCAGAGCCACGAACAATTAATGAATGTTTTTCACCGGCTGAAATACATGAAATTTCTTCACCAGAAATGGAGGTGACTAACTGTGGTACCAATTGGAATCTTTTTGAATTTAAACCCAAACAACCACTTGAACCCCAACCCCATACATATACCTCATTATCTTCGGTTAATGCTAGTGTATGTAAATGTCCACAAGTGACATATTTAATCTTTTTATCTTCTAATGCTTCAACAACTTTTGGTGAAGAGTATTTAAAATGATTATCTCTACTACCCATATCTAAATGTTGTGTTTCTTCAGTAGCGCCTAGTTGTGCATATTCACCATGGCCAAATGCATATAAAATTTGATTTCTACCAAGAACCATTGTAAAATTTGAACCACAAGAAACTTGAGAAACTTGAATACCATTCAAACTAAAAGCAGCTACTTTTTTTGGGTGTAAATAACTTTTAACATTTGAATGACCCAACTGACCAAATACACCAAGACCCCTAATGGAGATAATAAAATTTTGAATTAATAAAATATTTAAAAATTATTATTTTGTTGATATGTTTTGAACTTACCATGTATATAAATCGCCGTCTTCTGTTACAGCACCAATGTGTTGTCTACCACATGAGACACTAACAATTTTAACATCGAGTAAAGTTTTGACTAATTGAGGGGAGGAATTGAACCATCTATGTTTTAAACCCAATTGACCCTTTTCATTGAAACCCCAAGTAAATATTTTACCACTTTTGGTAACAGCAGCAGAAAAAGCCCAACCGGCACTTATATCAATAACTTCTTCGTTGGCCAATAAACCCTGAACTTGAATTGGTGTAGTTTGATTATAATCGATAATTTTACCAATATGTTTGCCTTTAGATTGCTCGGAAGTTGAGGCCTCATCGTCATCATCGTTATTACCACTTGTACTATCGTAAATTTCTTTTTCACCATTAAGATATTGAGAGACTGAGTTTTCAATGATACTTTGGTATTTTGGTTTTGACATACCTGGCATTTCTAATAAACCATTTGTTGCTTCTAGACCGGTCTTTGAGTCATCAATTTTATGAAGTTGACCCCATTCATATACTCTACCTTGATCGGTTAATGCCAACGAATGAAAATTTCCGCATGCTACCTTAACTACTCTTTCGTGTAATAATGTTTTAATTAAATTTGGTTTTGTTGAAAATAACATTTTTTCTGGTACGCCTAGTTGGCCTTCTTTACCTCTACCCCAACTGTATACATCGCCAAATCTAGATACACATATATTATGTGCCTCTCCTGATGAACAACTAACTATAACTTTTCCTTTTAAACTCTCCAATACCTTGGGTTCTAAATGTTCTTTAATATTTTCAATACCTAATTGACCATTTTTATTATTACCGACTGATATTACTAAAGTTAGGAAAAAAAAAAAATTAATATTTATATTGTTTTTATTTTTTTTATTTTTTTTTTATTTATTTTATCCACATACCTGACATTTTATTATTTATTTGAATTTATATATTATTATTATAATTATTTTTGTTATTATTACTATTGTATTATGATTTAAATTTAAAATTGTGAATTAAAAATTTTATTTTTAAATTAAACAAAAAGACAATTTTTAAGTATTTTTACAAAAAAAAAAAAATTAATTTAAATGAAGAGAAGGTTCTTTTTATTTCCTTTTAAAGAATTAATAAAGACAAAAAAATAAAATATTAAAAAAATATTTAAAAAATATTTTATTTTATTTAATTTTATTTTAGAAAATACAAAAAGTTTATTATTATTATTATTAAAATTTAAATAGTTTTAGTTGAGAAAAAAATAATAAAATTATTTTATATTTTATTTTATTATTTGTTTGAAAAAAAAATAGTTATTTATAAATAGTTTTACAATTATTTTATTTTATTATATTATAAAATAATACTAAATAAAAAAAAAATTTCTATTTCATGTTGTGATTTAAATAGTTGTTTTTTATTTTATTTAATATTATTAATATTAATTTCTATTATTTTTTGATAAAAAGTTAGATTTATAAGTATTACAATATATAACTATAAATTTATTATTTTTTTAAAAGTAAATTCGTTGAATGTAACAATAATTTATTTATTTATTTATTTATTTTTTGTTGTATGTAATAAATTAATATTTAAAAATGATAAGTAAATTCGCTGAAAATAATAATAAATTATTTATTTTTTTTTTTTAATTTTTTTTTTTAAATTTATTTTTTAATTTATTTAAAAAAAAAAAAAAAAAAAAAAAAAAATTAATTAATAATAAAAGGAATAATCGATTTGATCATTAGTCTCCATCAAAGATTACATTGAAAATGGTTAAATAATTTTAAATAGACTTTTCTTTTTGTTGAAATATATTATATAAATAGGGGAAAAAAAAAAAAAAACAATAAGCAAAAAAAAAAAAACACAATTAAGAAAAAAAAAATTAATTTATATATACATAAGTGTAATTATAACTTTTTTTTAAAGTGAAAAGATATATATAAATTATTTTTGGAATTCAGTCTAATTATTGTAAAAAAAAAATATATTACCCACAAGTTTTTTTAAAATAATTTTTTTAAAATAATTTTTTTTTTTTTTTTTTAAATTTAATTTATTTTTATTTTTCATTATTTTTTATAACCCTTTTGTATTATTATTTATTTATTTAATCAAATTTAACACATCATATTTAAAAAACCTTAATATTAATTATTTTTCACAACTGTAATTAAAAAAAAAAAAAAAAAAAAAAAAAAGTTATATAAAAATGGGTAAAGATAAAGTATTTTCAATTGCCAGAAAGGGTGATGTAACCAAGATGAAAAAATACATACCCGGATCAAAATATAAAATTGAAGATTTAGATAAAGAAAATAGATCATTATTACACCATGCAATTGATGGTGATCAATTAACAATGGTAAATTATTTATTGGAAAATGGCGCAAATATTAATCAAAAAGATCCAAAAACTGGTGACACTGTAAGTATACATATATAACTATAAAATAAATGATAATATTAAAATATTAATTCTAATGATATTTTAATTTTTATTTAGCCAATTTTAACATCATTAAAAAAAATTAATTCATGCGATAAACAAGAGGATATTGCAATATTATTAGTTAATAAAGGCGCAGATTTAGATGTAGAGTCAAGAGAAAGAAAAAGTGTAGAAAGATATGTCGATGGTTGCCCAAAGCGTTTCCAAATTAAATACAGAGATGCAGTTCAACAAAAATTTAGATCAAAATATCCACCAAAAGCGATTCCAGTTGCAGATAGCAAAACACAGGCATTATTAGCACAAACTGCTGGTTTACAAATTAGTACATCACAATCATCACTTCAACAATCACCAATATCATCAACTCCACCTCCAATTACACTACAACAAACACCACCTGTAAATAATAATATTAATAACAATGTACCAATATCAATTATACCCACCGTTGAACCAGCACCATATGTAAACTCAGAAGGTATTACAGTAGTCAAGCCACAAGAAATTGAAATTTTACCTAAAACATTATTGGATGAGGATTTTGATAAAGAACAAGATTTAAATATTATTTGGTTAGAAGTTGCATACAGAGCATCAATTGTATCCATTAGATCAGATAAAGTTAGATATGACGATATTACAAAAGCAACCAATGATTGCGGAAATATATTGGTCCATTTACTTTCTATCATCGGTAATTCAGAGACAACATCATTCATGGAGACTGTAAGAAATCAAGAGGCAGTAAATTCAATTCAAGAACGTGTAAAAAATGTTAAAGAAGGTATTAAGCTTAGATTATTTAGCAGAATTGAACATGCCGAGTTAATTCGTTTAGTTGCTGCATTGGTAGGATCATTACATTGGATGTACTATTGTTGGTCTGAGGTATTCCAAGAGGATATCAATCGTTCAATTGCAGAATGTGCATTATCATGTCGTGTAGCTATGAACTCGGTAACATCACGTACCCCATTTCAAATGAACGTTTTTACAAATGTTGCCAAGCTCTTAAAAAATATTTCAACCAAAGTATTTATTACACGTTCCCCAGAAAATGCAAAAAAACTTTCAGATTCATGCCACACAATCTCATCAACATTTAAATCATTAATGGTACTATCAATTATGAATAACAATGACCCAAATTCCTTAAAGCAAAGATCTGCTGAAAACATTATCTCTTTAGGTCGTAATATTGCAGAACAATTACAAATTTTAAAAATAGAATCCGCAGCAATTCTTCCATCAAGAGTAGGTTCCTCGCTACCTTCTCAACAAGAGATCGAACTTTGTGAAACAGCATCAATGCAACTTCGTGGCTCTTTAGATTATTATATGGAAAATACACCAAAGATCAAGATTCCAAAAGAAGACCAAACCATTCCTTTATTAGCAAACATTCAAAAGTCAATGTCATTACTTTCAAACTTTACAACTGACCAAAAAAACATTCAAATGGCTATTCCAGTTCAAATGATTGCCCAAGATATTCATAACCTTAGAAATATTTTATTGGAATATGTAAAATCTGAATCTGATCAATTAACCGAAGACTTTAAAGATCAAATTACCAATGCAATTAATTGCTCTGCTCATTTCGCCACACAATTACTATTCTCGGTCTCTGCCCTTATTTGCCATAACAGAATAAGTGATATTGCTCAACTTGGATTTTCATGTCGTAATATTTCAACATGTTGTAGTATTTTAATAGATTCATTTTGTTTTTAAATAATATATGAAGAAAATAAATTATAAAAAAAGAAAATATAACTTTTTACTTTACAAGATGAAAAATAATGGTTTTTATTTATTTTTTTATCTTTATTTTTTCTTGTTAAACTTTTTCATAATTTGGTATCAAATTGGAATATCCATATAATATGGATTATATTTATTCCATCAAAAATAAAACTAAAATAGGATGGATGACCGAATATTCATAATCAGTGCCAATTTTTACATCATGGTACAAAGATATATATATATAACAAACTATATGAATATGTTAGAACTAAACGTGAAAACTTGAACATTTTTTCTTTGCAAGCTTTTCCAATATCGGGGAAAAATCATTATTTTAATTAAAAAGTTCAGTGAATGGATAAAAACCTATAGGTCTTTCTTCTGGTTTATTAAGATATGGAAGCACAAAAATAGAATGGGAATTGTGCATAATTTACAAAAAAAAAAATTTAATCGGTTTTTAGTTTTTAGTTTTTTTTTTATTTTTTATTTTTTTTTTTTAAATTTCATTAAAACACACATTTTATTTTTTTATTTTTGTTTTTTTAATATGCATATCTCTAAAATAACTATTTTAAAATGACATTTTGGAATAAATTAAGTAAACCATTGGTATCGTTAGCACCAATGGCTGATGTCACTGAGGTATCATTTAGATTTTTAATAGCAAATGTAATAAATAAATATTGGATCAAACCTAATAATGTAGTATTATTTAACGAGTTTTTAGCAACCGAAGGGGTTTGCAGAGATCATATAGCGCAGCAATTAGAATATAGTGAAATAGAAAAACCTATTGTAGCACAGTTTTTTGGGTGTAGACCAGAGGCATTCAAAATATCAGCAGAAATAGCATGTAATAAATATAATTATGATGGAATAGATATTAATATGGGTTGTCCAAGTAGAAAAGTAGTTTCACCCAAACAAGCAGCTGGTGCAGCTTTAATAACCAACCCAAAATTAGCACAAGAAATTATATATGCAACAAAAGAAGGTGCTGGTTCAAAACCAGTTTCGGTTAAAACCAGAATTGGATTCGATTCAATTGATATAGAATCATGGATACCGAAAATATTGGAAGCTAAACCATCCTGCTTAACATTACATCTCAGAACTAAAAAAGAGTTGTCATTGGTGCCAGCACATTGGGAACACGAAATACTAGACAGGGTTTTAGAAATGAGGAACTCTATATCACCAGAGACTTTGATAATGGGTAATGGCGACGTCGAAACAATGGAGCAAGCCTATCAATACTCCAAAGAATTCGGAATCGATGGTGTAATGATCGGTAGAGCAAATTATGGCAATCCATGGCTACTCAATCCGAATTTAGTCTTTGAATATATAGAACCTAGAACTACAGATTGTGGACCAAATATACCGCCAACTGAAAATCAATTAAAAATTATTGAAAAAAAATCAAAAAACTATATCCCAACCACCAATGGCGACAGTGACGCGCTAATCGAAATTTCAATTAAAGAAATATTGTCAACCATTGTTATGCACGCTATTTATAGAGAGGAGATTTCAAGATCCAAATCATTATCACCTTTAAATGCACACTTTAAGAATTATCTCAAGCCTTTGTCAAATTTAGGTGATGTAAGCTCTTTAAGAAAACAACTATACGAATGCAAAAGCTCTCAAGAGATTTCAGATTCCATAAATAGTTTTTTAACTTTTAAAAAAAGGGAGTTTGATCATTTAATTTATACAGAAATTTTAAATAATACAAAAAATTTAATAAATAGTTCGAAATTTTATAAATAAAATATAAATAAAAACCATTTGGCTGCCTTAACAGACATTGGGAAAAAATCTGGACATCTATGAACAGGAAAAAAGTTTAAAATTAAAATTTTTTATTTTTTTTATTTTAATATTAACACTACCCATAATTATAATGTTAATCTGATTAAAATTTACTTTTTTATAATAATTGCTTCTTTGAAGTTAATCAAATAAGTCAAAAAATAAAGAGATAATAAAAGTTATTTTTAGGTGTCACAAATTAAAATAATTTTTTTATTTTAAAAAAATTAAAGGAAAAAAAAAATCTGAAAAAAAAAAATTTTAAAAAAAATTCACCCTTTTTAAAATTTTTTTTCTTTTTTATTTTCTATTTTTTTTGATTTGAAAATCCATCATATAAAATAAAAAACTAATTATTTCTAAATAAGATTGTATAAAAAAAAAAATAAAAAAATGGAATTTCCAACAAAATATGTATATGTAACATCAAATATTGAAAAACCAAAAGAATGGTTTTCAGAATCTGAAATGAATGTTTCACAATCAAATAATAGTACAGTTCAAAAAAGCTTTACAAATACAAACTCCCCTTCATCAACCAAAAACTCTGGTGGTGAAGCTGTTTTATTAGATATTTTAGATACTGCAGGCCAAGAAGAGTATTCATGTAAGTATTCATATAAAAAAAAAAAAAAAAAAAAAAAAAATACTAATTTTATTTCTTTTTTTAGGTATGAGTAAATATCAATAAATATTTCTATATAGTATAAAATATTTAATAATAATTAGTGGATTATTAAATTATTAACAAAAAAATTTAAATTATTTAGGAGACCAATATGTTAGAACTGGTGATGCATTTATGTTGGTATTTAGCGTTACATCAAGATCATCATTCGAAGAAATTTCAATTCTTAGAGAACATGCATTAAGAGTAAAGGATCGTGATGATGTACCATTCATAATTGTTGGTAACAAAGTCGATTTAGATAGAGAAAGACAAGTTTCAAAAATCGAAGCTGAGTCATTGGCAAGATCATTAGGTATCCCATATATTGAAACTTCTGCTAAAACAAGAGTTAATATCGAAGAAAGTTTCTTTAGATTAGTACGTCACACTCCACGTAATACTGTATATAAAATTGTAGTTATGGGCTCTGGTGGTGTTGGTAAATCATCAATTATTATTCAGTTTATTCAAAATCATTTTGTTGAAGAATATGATCCAACTGTAAGTAAAACCAGCCTTTTAATACACATAAATTAATAAATAATTAATGTTTTTTAACAATAAAAACTAGATTGAAGATTCATACAGAAAACAAGTTACAATTTCAGGTTTACCACCACCAGGAGGAAACAAAGATAATAAATCATCATCATCATCATCATCAGCAAAGTCTTCAGGTGGTTTGTTTAGCAAAATGTTTTCATCAAAAACTCCAACACCAACCAAACCAACAACACCCCAACCACCACCAACAACAGGACAATATTCAATTACAAAATTAGAAACTAATTGTTTAACATATTCAATGTCAAGCCTTTCAACAAATACTCCACTTGTTACTGGTGATGCAACTTATTGCCAAGGCTGTAATATTATTTTAAATAGATTTTCACAGTTATCTAAAAATTCAGATGACTCTTACAATTGGAAATGGTAAATATAGCTTAATAGATAACAATAATAACAACAATAATATTTGTTATGATTTTAGATAGTAATAATTTTTAAAATACAATCATATTAATTTCATATTTTTTTATTTATAGCGAATTTTGCAAATTTAACAACGAAAATTTAATGTTAGAAAAAGATGAAATTCCAAATAAAGATTCAGTTGAATATATTTTAGCTACCAATTCTAATGACCAAATAAAGAATAAAGAAGAATCAGTTATTGTTTATTGTATCGATATTTCAGGTTCAATGGGTATTACAACTGAGATTCCAGCACTTCAATCAGAATGGAGCAATCTTAGAAAAGGTAAATCAAATAGTGGTCCATCCTATATCTCCAGATTAGAGTGTGTACAATCATCTATTCCAACAATGATTGATCGTCTTGCAATTCAACATCCAAATAAAAGAGTAGTTTTAGTTACCTTTTCAGATGAAGTTATGATATATTCACAAAAGTCAAATGAAGGTCCAACTGTTGTAACTGGTGATAAATTAGAAGATTTCGAGCAATTAATAGAAATTGGTAAATCATTTAAATATGATCAATTAACCACCGCCAAAGGTTCACAAGAGTTCTTAAAAACTAAAATCAAAGGTCTTGAACCAGTTCAATCCACTGCCTTGGGCCCAGCTCTTTTAATCTCTGCCGCCATTGCTGGTCAGAAAATGTTAAGTGAAGTCGTTATTTGTACTGATGGTATGCCAAATGTTGGTTTGGGTGCCATTGAAGATTTACCAATTGGTCCTGCTGAACAATTTTATCAAGATGTTATTAAAATTGCTCAAACTAATAAGACCACTGTTAACATTATTGGTATTAGTGGATGTCAAATTGATCTAGGTGTAATTGGTAAAGTTTCAGAACAAACAAATGGTACAATTACAATTATTCATCCATTAGAGTTAGCCAGAGAAATCCGTAAACTTACTCAAAACCCAGTCATTGCCACCGATATTGAAATGAGTGTTTGTCTTCATCCAACCTTAGAGTTCAATAAATATGATAGCAGACAGGGCCTCAGTCGTTTAGTTAAAACTTTCCCAAATGTAAACTCCGAAACTGATCTTTCATTCGTTTACACTTCAAGAGCAAGACCATCAGAGTTTGTACAAAACTACCCATACCAAGTTCAATTAAAATATACCAAATTAGATGGTACTCGTTGTCTTCGTGTTGTAAGTGCTCAATTAAAAGCTACACCACGTTTCGAACAATCTACCGAAAATGCAGATATTTCGACATTATCATTAGCATTCACCCAACATGCTGCAAAAGTTGCCCAACAAGAAGAATACCTCGAAGCTCGTTTAATATTAAGAGCTGCCTCTCGTTTAATTCGTTCTATTTGCCAAACTGATGAACAATGGGAAGAATTTTATAATTTTGAAGTATTAAAAGAAGAGTTAGAATTACCATTAATTGAATGTCAAAAGAAAAAACAAACCAAATGCAAAACACCATCTAGTGAAGAAAATAAAATTGCATCTGATGAACAACTTCAAACTTTCTACAAGATGAAAAATGTTCATAAATCATTTGTTGTTGGTGGAAAAAAGAAAGATATCACAAGAAGAAAGGGTGAATCCGAAATTAATAAGCAATACTATGATATTAGATTTTAAATTATTATAGTCCTTGTATTTTTATTTATAACCCAAAGTTAATAAACCTATAAATTGTATTTTATATTTTTTTTTTAAAACTCTAAATAATTTTTTTATTCTCTTTTGTATTATCAATGGTATACCCCATTTCGGATTGATTTTAAATTTATATAATTAAAAGAAAAGCAAAATTTTTATAAATTTCTTGACAAACTTTAGAACTTTAAATTTAAATTATCAATATATTTTTTTTTAAATTTTCTATTAAATACTAACCACGAATTTTTGCCTTACCCATTCAATATGAAGAGTGCAAAGGTTAACACGACTTTTATTAATTTATTTTTAAAAGGATTTTTAGTTTTTTTCTCCAATAGTGCACCTTATTACAGATTACCAGAAATGCCTGGATGGCTCAGTAGGCAGAGCGAGCGGCTGTTAACCGCTAGGTCCATGGTTCGATCCCATGTCTAGGCGATTTTTTGTTATTTTTGAAAACTTGATCTCCTGAAAGAAAAAATAGGCCAAACCGCTAAATTTTTGTTTTGGGGAATAAATTGTGGTATATCGCCAACACCAACACCACAACAAAAACCACAAATGAGACAATCACCTCATAAACTGCAATCTTACTTATTAATTTAAAGCATTTGACAAGTGTTAACATCATATAAAATCTTACTTTTTATAAATTAAGTTTTATCAAATAATTTTAGCACTGTCCAACAGCTTTTTAAAAGCTATTTCAATGTATATTAATTATACACCACAAAACACAGATCAAAAGAATTTAGATCGTATTAAAGATTTTTAATCTTCTATCTTCACTATCTCCAATCTTCACAAATTTGTCTTTCTAAAAGCCAATCCAACTACAAACATCATTCCCACCACCATCTTCAAACGTAAAACCAATCATAATAGATTTATCCAACGATTGGAAAGAAATGAAAACTAAGGATTTTCCCCATAATAATTTCAATACTATTGAAGACATACTCTTGTCAAGCATCTCTATAATTCAAAAAAGTGTTAAAGATATCATTGAACGAGATAACAAACTATCCACTTATGAAAAAAATGGAAACAACATCAATCTCAGATTATATTACCCAAACCACCAAATATCCGATGAACATATAATTCATTTCAGCAAATACACAGATATAGAAAAGATCTCATTCGACAAAAAGAAAAAGAAAACTATCTTTATCTCTCTCTCAAAAGAAAACCTACATAATCTCCTTAATGAAAGAGATACCACCAACAAGATGAACAAGTTCATCACGCACTGTGACGATTACCATATGGTAATTGGAAACATCAACTCATCCAATCAAGACATTGAAAAAGTGTTAAAAGAACAACTTAACCTAAAAATTGACTTCTTCTTTTCTCACATCAAAGTCAACAAAAACAATACCTCCTTTTTCCACCTCATCGAAAGAAAAAACAACTCAATCAAATCAAAGCTACTCCAATCACCATACTATCGTATTAAGATTAAGTCTGCAACAAAATCAAAAAATCATCCTAACAACAAAATCAATCAACTAATCAATGAAGATATACTAGGGGTCTCCACTGATAAAGAAATTGATAACAACATTACCATAATCAATCAATTAATCAAAAAAGATAGGGTCGACTTTAATGATCAAGATGATGATTACAAAGAAACTATTTCTGACAACGAATCTAACAATTCAACTAACACACTAGATAACGAGGAAATATCTAATGACGAAACAAACAAACAAACAAAAAACCAATCACCACAAGATGACAATAAATCATCAACCAGCAAACCCTCAAGAACATCCAGGGTTAACGCACTAAACAACATCTTTACAAGATTAGCTTCACCAACTTCCAAAAATAAAACCGCCATAACAAATATGAATACCACCGCAAAAAGTAACCGTACTCGAAATGTTAGCCAAATATCCACACCAATCAAAAACACTCCATACCAATCAGGCAGTCCGAAATCACCTGCTATTGAACAAAAATCTAAGAAAAAAAAAACTTCTTAAACTAGATAGGTTGTTTCAACCTTACCCCAACACACCTTACCCCAACACCTGCTTCTTCTTATATTTTAATATAAATAAACACCGTCGCTTACACTAATAATATTTATTATATTATTAAGTAAGCTTTTTTAAAAAAAAAAAAAAAAAAAAAAAAAAAAAAAAAAAAAAAAAATTTTATTTAAAGGCTTTTGTTTTAAAAAAAAAAAAAAAAAAAAAAAAAAAAAACTGCAAAATAAAAAATTAGAGCTACCAATAGTACCGTTATGGGGGTTTCTGAGGAATTGCCATCATAATATATTTAATTGGGTGGTATTTTAATTATGGGTGGATATTCTATTGATATACAATAGCATCTCACCATAAAAAATAAAAAATAAAAAATACAAAATATAAAAATATAAAATATAAAATATAAAATAAATAATAAATAATAAAAACTTAATACAATATGTATTAACATTATGTTTGCGACTTTATTGTCCTATTAGAAATCTAAAAAAAAATTTCCATCATAAAGAAATACAAGATTTATTATTATTTAATTTGGTTGGTTATATTATAAATAATTTAAAAAGTTAATGTTTTATATGTCATTTAATAGAGAATTTAATGAACTCATCAAATCAGATCATATTTAATTAAAATGCTCAATTTTAAATTTAAAACAAATATATATTTAAATTATCAAAAAAAAAAAAAAAAAATTTTAATAATAAAATAGTTATTATAAAAAACTCACACTTTGTTTAAACATTACTATTTTTTTTGATTTTATTATATTTATTATATTATAATTTTTAATTTTTTAATTTAATTTTTTTATAAATTTATTAAATATTTTTTATTAAAAAAATTATAGACAAAATAAAAAAAAAAAATTTATTTTTTTCAAATTATATATTTTACATATATTCCACATTTTTTATCTAATAATTATTTTCACAAACATTAGCATTTATAATAATAATTATTTTTTTTTTTAATTGTATTTAATTTTTATATTTATTATTTATATCACACTTTTTAAAATTCATAAAAATGCTTAGTTTAATTGCTATTTTCTTTTTTCTTATCACCATTTTTTTTTTATTATATAATAACATCTATAATAATAAAAATAATAAAAATAATAATAATGAAAATAATAATAATGAAAATAATAATAATAATAATAATAATAATAATAATAATAATAATAATAATAATAATAATAATAATAATAATAATAATAACAACAACAAAAATCAACAACAATATCAACCAAATGGAAGTTTTAACTATTTTCAGCAACCAATATATCAATCACCACAACAACAAACACAACAAAATTACCAACAATATGAGTTTTTGAACTATTATCAGCAACCAACCAATCAATCTCAACCACCAATGAATCCATTCCAAAGTCAATATCAATCTTCATACCATCCACAACAAAATTATCAACCAAATGGAAATTACAACCAATATCAGCACCCAAATCATCAATATCAATCTCCACCACAACAAACACAACCACCAATGAATCCATACCATAGAAAGAGATCATTGGAAGCTTATAAAAATGAAATGGAGTCAAATAAAAAATTAAAAATTGATGATGAAGATAAATTAAAAAAATCTTATGGAATTTCAAAGAGATCATTGAAATCTGACGAAAAAGATGATCTTTTCAAAAAGAAATTTAAATTTGAAGATTATTCAAATAAATTTAACGAATTTTCAAAGAGATCATTGGATGTAGAGTCCAATAAGAAATTTAAAAAAAATAGATCGAATAATGGAATTTCTAAGAGATCATTGAATGCTGATGAATTAGATGCCAAATACAATAAAAAATTCAAATTTGGTGATTAAGTTATTAAATTAATTATCAGATAAAGAAGGTTGTGAAAAAAAGGAAAAATAATGACAAGAAATAGAAAAATTAGAAAAGTTACCTGATAAAAAAGATTAGAAAATTTTTAATAGAGAAGGAAATATAGTTATTCCAAATAGATACCCCCAGAAATTTCATGCACCCAAATGGATATAAATAATTATAAAGGTAACTATAATGATTATTTTAAATTCATTTATTTAAATAATAAAGAAACTAATATTTATTTAATAAAAAATTATAATTTAAAGATTTAAAAAAAAATAGTAATTACATAATTTAATAAATAAGATACAAACTCCATAAACTCCTAGTAGTCATTGGATCACTTAGGGCAGGTTCCTTTCATTTTGTTTTAAATACCGGTTTATCTCTCTTAGTAGATGGTGATTCAATTTAACCAAGATGGTGAGTTTTTTATTCTCCCAAGTGGCTATCCATCTGTTTGGCTTTCAAATACTTATTCTTTAGAAAAAATTTAAAAGTACTGTGCAGAATATTTCCCAAAGATATGTAGTATAGATGGGTTATTTTAAATGATAATATTCCAGTTTAGCAAATAGTATTGAACCAGTATTCAATGGAAAAAGAAATCTTTAAACAACCAATGGATATTTATAAGCAGTAGATTTATTAAAATACAACCCAAAAGCTTGTCGTTGGAAATGGTTAATATCTCAATATATTACCAGAAGGTTGATTTGGTCGCAAATGGGTATTGCTATTCAAAATATTGCAGGCAATGGTATGGGGTAGATTTGGCCAATCGTCTCTGATACCGGTATTATACCTCTCATTCCTGGTAATTTTATCGATAGATTAGATCCTGCATATAACATTCCACCCAACTTTATTACAAATGGTCGTTACAATTTACCAATGAACTCTATAGAAATATAAGCTATGGGGTTTTATTATAATAATAATCCAAACAACTTTGTTTGAAAAAACTCTTTCAAGTATTTTCATTTGGAAGATTCAGAATTATAAATTAGAATCCAGTAGTACCGCCAGAGAAGTATGTGTTTTTAAAATAAATAGTGATGGTGAATATATTTGGTCTAACTAAAGACAAACTTGGTAGTTTTTTTCTTTAAAAACATTCAAGTTTCACAAGAAAACAATCTAAAATAAACCAAAATAACTTTTTTTCCAGATAGTATTTATCAATTGTAAAATGAAAAAACAAATGAAAAAATTCTAAAGAAACCTAAATTGTTATGGTAATTCTTGCAGTATATTGAATAAAGAAATCTAGGTCAACTTTTTGACAAAAAAAAAACAAACAATAACTTTAAAATACATAACATAAATAAATTAAATGCAATATTATGAAAGGGTGCACTACCTTTTCTTATTAGTTTTTATTTAAATAAAAAAGAAGATATATACAATAAATCCCTTTTTTTTAGCCTAAATGAGTCTAAATTATTATCTGTACTTTTACAACTTATATTAAATATGTTTTTGGATTTTTTTCTTTTTAGGAAAAAAATATGAAATGATGATTTTAAAAAAAGATTAATAACAATATTACTGTTATTATTATGATTATGATTATGATTATGTTGAAGATATATAAATTATAAATTGATTTAATTTTCAATGGCTGGAACAACTTGGTCATCATCATTGATAGCAGAAGTATCGGTGGTTTCTTTATCTTTTTGTTCTTGTTCTAATTCCATTAATTTCATTTCTTTTTCGATTTCTTCTTCATTGAATGGAATTGGGGTTGGATCATATTGATGTAATAATCTTCTCCATTTCTTGACTTGACCATCCCAAGATCTCTTTGAGCAAACTTGATTTTTATTTGGAGTCTTTGGATCGGTTGGCTTTCTCTTTGATTTTGGTACAGTAGCGATATAATTTTTATAACCAGCAGTCATTTTACCAATATCGATTTGTCTTTGTCTAGCAGCCAATCTCTTTGGATCAATTTCACGAAGTTTCTTTGGTGTTTCAACAGATGGAACTGAAGATTCCTCGGTATCTTCTGTATCAACAACAGCAATAGTTGATTCTTCTGTAGCAGATTTTTTATTGGATTGTGGAGTATAGGTGACTATTTTATTTGCTTTTACTGGGGTTGTATTTAAAGCGAATGGAATTGGGTTTTGTTTTTTGGTGGCACTATAATTATTTGATTTGGTGGCACTATAATTATTATCACGATAGTAAGAGGCAGGAGTAGTGGTGGTAGATAAAGCACCATTATTTTTCTTTGGTGTAACAATTTGTTTACTTGGTGATTGGGATGATGATTGTTGAAGATTATAAGCGATTTTGAATGGACTTACTTGTGGTGAAAAAATTGGGATATTAGTTTTTTGTTGTTGTTGTGAATTACGTTGACTGTTGATACTATTATTTAAGATGAATGGAGTAGTTGGTAATGAAACTACAATTTCTTTTTGATGGTTTTCAACAATATCAATTTCTTTTGGTCTAACGGTATTGGCGGATTTTAATGACATAAAGAAACTGGCATCATAGACTTTGTTCTCTAAACTAGTGGTTTTAGTGTGGACTAAATCTAATGATGGACCAACTGGAACAACTAATGATGATTCGCTTTCAACTGATTCTTTAGTGATGGTGGTAATGGCAGCAGTAGTATCAAGATCGATCATGGAAATTGGTACAGAGTCTTTGAGTGGGCTTGCGCATGGGGAAATACCGCCAGTGGTATCAACACCTATTCTTTTCAAATCGTTTTGGATAGAAGTTAAATCTAAGAAAACTTCTTGTTGGGCAACAATAGCAGTATTGGCGGTACTTGATCTAGCCTTTGAAACACCTTTGGATGGAGTGAACAAAATATTATTTTTACTATTATTATTAATTTTTACAACATTGTTATTATTTGCTTTTTTAGCGGAACTATTTACAGAGATATTTTCAACCCCAACTGAGTTTTTCTAAAAATATAATAAAATAAAAATAGAATGTTGAATTAATATATTTGTTTTAAAAAAAAATTAAAAAAAAAAAAAAAAAATTTATTTTTTTTTAATTTTTTATAATAAAAAAAAAAAAATATTTACTTTTAAAGATGCATTTGGGTTTAAAGGAGTAGCATTCTTGATGTTGGACAATAATGCTCTATTTGTCTTTTGGTTAATAAATGGCGGCTCCATTAGTATTGGCAGTTGAATTAATGATTGTTGACATTTTTTTTTTTTTTTTATGATTTTTAAAAATTATTGGACTTTGTGATTTTTTATGAGAAATTATTTTTATAATTATATGTGTTGTAGTTATTAATTAATTAATTTGTTATAATTATTTAATGTTATTTATTATATTTATAGAAAAAAAAAAAAAAAAATTTAATTTACCTTTTTTTTTTTTTTTTTTTTTTTTTTAATAATAAATTTTTTAGTTTTAAATAATATATTTGTTGGTAATTAAATTCACCAGTTTTTTAATTTAATTAATATATAACTAATAGTGATAGAATATTTAATTATATTAGTTTGGTTAGATCTATTTATTGAAAAAGAATTACTAATAGAGATAGAAAGTGCTAACTGACTAACTTTATATGTGTGTGAATCAAGTTGATGCTGAAGTGAAAAAAAAAAAAAAAAATGAAAAAAAAAATTTGATTTTTTTTTTAGTGCGGAAAAATTGAAAAAAAGAAATAAAAAATTGAAAAAAAATAAATTTATTATGAGAATAATTCAATTTAAATTTTTAAAAAAATGCCGCTGACTTCAAAAAATAACTTTGGCGCTAAACTGTCTCATATTTTTTTTTTTTTAAATTTAAATTGATGATGTTGGCAATATTTTTTTATTTTTTTTATTATCATATATCTAATTTATAACATATTTAAATAATTAATTAAAATTAATTTTATTTGTTTAATTTTTATCAGTTATATAAAAGTTTGGTTTTCTTTATTTATTGTTTACCTATAGGTTGGATCTTTTTTTTTTTTTTTTTTTTCTTATATCTCCAAGGCTTTTTTAAAGATTTTTTTTTTAAATATTTTTTTAAATATTTTTTATTTTTATATTTTGTAATCATCAACAATCATTGTCTAAAAAAATCACCTTATTTTATTTTAAGTTATTACGGTCTAATTTTAAAAAAATTAATCTCAAAAAAATTAATTGTTAAAATTAATTATATTATATTAATTAATCTTATTAATTATATTATATTATATTATATTAATTAATCTTATCATTGTGTTTTATTATATTTTGTTCAAATTTAAAATAACAATCTTGTAAAATCATAAAACTCAATATTTTTGTTAAACTATAGATTAATATTCCTTAAATTTGGAAAAATAGAAATAATTATTTTTTCTCTTTCAAATAATAGAGAAAAAAAAAAAACAATGTCTAAATATTAAAAAAGTTAATTTTGGACATATGTTGTTGATAATAACGATAATGGTGATGATGATGATGTTGATGTGATAAAAAATAATGAATGTAACCCCCTTTTTTATTTTTATTTTTATTTTATTATTTTTTAATTTTTTAGAGTTATTTGTTGTGTTTGTATTTTATTTGTGTGTATGTGTGTATATGTGTGTGTGATTTCTATAAATAAAAAAATAGGAATGTTATATGCAAACACAAATAGGTGGTGTGTTTGTTTATGATACCCCTATAAATAAACAATATTTTTTAATTTTTTTTAATTTTTTTTTAGTGTGGGGGTTTATTTAACTACTATTTATATATTAAAGTTTTTTTCTTTCTTTGATATTAAAAATGACCATTTACAACAAGAAAGAGCAAACATAGAGTTTGTGTGTATGTGTGTTAGAAAGAGAATGAAAGAAAAAATTGAATATCAATAGATACACATACAATGTAATAAAAAAAAAAAAAAAAAAAAAAAATAATAATAATAATAGAAAAATGAGATGAGTTGTGGATTTTTTGTTTTCTCTCTTTGTTTAATGTGGTATGTGTGTATTTATAAATATATATAAATTAATTTAATACCAATAAAAAAACAATTATGAAATATTTGTATTAATACTTATTTTTAACACACATTCCCTAGAACAACAATAAAAAAATACACACCAACACCACAACAACTTGTTTTCAAAAATAATACTTCCTTAATTTAATATTAAATTAAGTAGGTAATAATAACTGCATAATATTTCTTTACTTTTTTTTTTTTTTTTTTTTTTTTTTTTTTTTTTTTTTTTTTTGGGGGTATTTTTTAAAAAGTAAATTTTTAATTATTTTCTTCCTTTTTTTATTTTTTTAATAGAGGGTTTTTTCATTTTTTAATTTTTTCTTTATAATATAGATAGAGATAAAGATACAAAAAAATTAAATAAAACAAGCAAACACACACCCAAACACCACAAACTTGAATATTTGTTCATTCTCAATATCTTTATAACAATCAACAAAGTTTATTTTTAAAAGTTAATTTTAATTTTAATTATATATTTATTATTATCATCATTATTATAATTATTATTGTTTAATTTTTATTATTCCTTTATTTTAAAAATAGTTGTTAACTATATTTTTTTTTTTTTTTTTTGTTTTTTTTTTTTTTAACTTACTTTTTTTAATTTTAATTTTAATATAAACTTTTGCAACATAATCATTTTTTTACTTGTAATATAGATGATTTATTGTTTAAATAATATTAGTATAAAATAAAAAATTTAAATATAATATAAAATAGAAAAGTAATAAAATATCTATATTTTAAAATATAGTTTAATAATAAATTGTAATATAAATAATGACAACCAAACCAGGAAATGTTAAAACATTAATTGAAAAATATAATGAAATAAATGAAAATATTACCAAATCAATTTCACCAAGAGGATTAACACCATCATTATCAAATCATAGCGGTTCATTTATATTATCAAATAGCAATGGTAATAGTTTTTATATCAGTAACAATAATAGTGGTAATGGTTCCTGTAGTAACCACAGTAGTGGATATAGTGTGGGTAGCTATATTGGCAATAGTGATGGTACATGTTTAAATTCAAATAGTTGTTTATCGCCATCCATGCTATCAAGTTTAGAAGGTAATAGAAACAATAGTAATGGCAATGATTACAGTAGTAGTGGTTGTTGCATTTCAGATGACACTTCATCGTCATCATCAAGCGGTAGTTGTTCGATTTCAAATACTTTAAATAAAAGCTCCACATGGATGAAAATTTCATTAAAAATAAATACAGATTTAATATCAGGTTCACTATGTTCCTCAACTAATACTTCAGATGACGAACAGTCATTTAATAATAATAGTAATAATGATAATAATAGTGATGGTAGTAATAATAGTAATAAATTTAGTTTATCACCCAGACCAATAATAAAAAAGCAGGAGCCCGAAAATCAAGAGACAACGCCACCACCAAATCTAGATAAAAGAAGATACTCAAGAGATTTAATACCATTTACAATTACAAATATATAGATAAAACAATAAAATCTTTACTTTCCACAATGTACATATTAAAATAAATAAAATAAAATAAAATAAAATAAAATAAAATAAAATAAAATAAAATAAAATAAAATAAAATAAAATAATATAATATATTATATTTATAAAATATATAAACCAATAAAATGTCGTTTTTTTTTTTTTTGTTTTTTTTAAATTATATATTAAAAATTAATTTATTATATAATTAATAAAAAATATACATATTGAAATATAGTTTTATTAATTTCTTTTTATTTGTTTCTTTATACAAGGTTCTATAGATTTAATTTTTTTTAAAATGGTATTATACTAACTCCATATTTACATACATGGTCAAGTTTTTGCATTTCTTCTATTTTTATTTGAACTGGAGATAAATCATCTTTGTATACAATATTATATATTTCTATTGCTGTTACGAAATATACCATAGCGTCTTCACATTTACCTACATTAAAACTATCTACACCAATTTCATAATAGGTGTCTCCAAATATTGATGTGTTTAAATTTATAGAGTTTTTATAAAAATTTAATCTAATTGCTAAGCTGTCATTTTGATATTCAAATGCCCTTTGAGAAGATGTACCACGAATTCTTACATTTTGGCCTAAAAGAAATAATACATCAGCCATTTCTAAAGTTTTATATTGAATATTATCTCTTAAAATTGATTCTGCTTTCTTTAGTAAAGCATATGATATGCTAATTGATTCGGGATGACCCTCGGTATTATACCATCTGGCCATATAAAATATTCTATCAACCAGGACTAAATAGTATGTGTCTTGATCTTTATTATATAAATCATTGGCAATTTGATAGGATTTGTTAAAATAGTAAAATGACTGTTCCATATAGTTGTCTAAAGTTAGGTTATTGAAATAAGCTTCGCCAATGTGAGCTAGTATAAAGCTATAGTAATGGTCGTTTCTTAAAGTTTCATCGATATCTTCAAAAATTTCATAAGCAACCAAATAGTTTTCCAAAGCTTGAGAGTAAAGACGATTTATTGGGTAGCAAGAACCAATTTTAGCATTTGCATAACCTTTTTCATTTAAGTTTTCTGGGTATATTCTCTGGGTCAATTTTAAAATAGACTGCTCTTCATTTAGACACGGGTATAGCTGTCCAGTATGATAATAAACATCACCTTTCATTCTGTGATATCCTAATTGAATCGTGGGGTCGTTTGGTGATGTATTTAAATATAGGTCGGCATAGATGATTGATTTGTTATAGGATCCATTGTTAAATTCGCAGTTGAATAGTAAAGAATATGCTGATTGAGTAAGGTTTTTATTATTTAGTATAAAAGAGAGATCCAATGCTTTTTTATATAATTCCGATGCTTCGTCCAAAAGACTTAACTTATAATTTTTATTTCCTTCCTCTATAAACTGATTGTATTTTGATAGATTTAAAGACATTTGATTTGACGCTTCTCTAGAATTTATAATATACCAAAATAAAATACCAAATCCAACTATAAATAATAGAATACCGATTACCGAAATTGCAATTATTGGTTTTGATTTTTTAAATTTTCCAAAAAGTTTTCTTATTCTTGGTTTGTAATGTGAGTTTGATTCAATATCGAATGATTGCATTGCTGGTTGATTTGACGATAGAGAGGAAGATAATTTTTTTGATGATATTGTGATATAGTCTTCATTAAGTTTCATATATGAGCCACTATTTAATGAGGATGATTTGGTAAAGAGGCCTTGATGTTGGTCATCACTACTATTTTCACTATGGTCTATGCTATTGTTATAGGTAGTGTTTAGTTCTGGTGGGATTTCATATTGTGAAAATACTTGGTCTTTTAACAATTCTATAGCATTCAATCTTTTCTTGTACCTTTTCTTTAAACAACTTTGTAAAAACTTTTTAAAGGCAACGGGAATATCCTTTGGTATTTCTAATTCTCGTTCTGGTAAAATATGCCCCAGCATATATAATACAATTGTACCAACACTCCATATATCTGATTTTCTACCAACATAATTGTTTTCAAATATAATTTCTGGTGCTATAAAACCCAATGTACCAACTCGACCAACTGCACATAGACTCTTTGAACTTGATATAATGTGAGATGAACTGCCAAAATCAATTAGTTTAATATCTTTGAAATCATCACTAACTAGTATATTGTTTGGGCTAATATCTCTATGCATAATTTGGTTACAATGAAGAATATGAAGGGCTACTAACAGTCTCCATGTTATATTCACTATATCTTGGTCGTCGATTCTTTGCTTTTCTTTGACATGCCTATGTAACGATTTGCCATTAAAAAACTCTGTATAAATATAAAAATACTCTTGTTCATCCTCTATTTTGACTTCGTGGTAATAATATCTCAATAATAAATTTTCTCCATTTGTATAGTTATAGTCGTTTTTGAAATCTAAAATATTTATTAAAATTTGTGATTCGCTATCAAATATAAGCTATAAAAAATTAATAAATATAATAAAAAAAAAAAAATAAATATAAATAAAAATTATATTTTTCTTTATGTAAAATATACATACCTTTTTATTTTTCAGTTTCTTTTTAATTACACAATATTTATTTCTTATATCAATACCATTAATTTGACCATCTTTCTTTTTTGCTTTAATGACAATACCATAGCTACCTTTCCCCAGGAATTCGAAATCTTCCCACCCATCTTTTAATAAATTTTCTTTAAATTTTTCAAAATCGTTTAAATATAATTCATAGTCTTTGTTATTATTAATATACTTGTTATTATTATTATTATCATTGTCACCTTCATTATTATTTGTGTTGTCTGAATTATAAGAACCAACCATTTCAAAATATTTTTATTTATTTAATTAAAAATTTTGTGATGGTGGGGATATTTTATTTTGTTATTACAATTATTGTATTAGAAAAATTATTATTATTAGTATTGTGTAGTATTTTTAATTTTTAAATTTATTAAAATAAAACATTTTTTCAAACCTTTTTCTTTTTTCTTTCACTATGAATTTTTAAGCTTGTGCCGGTTAGAAAGTGAAGAGTCGTTAGTGAATATATACATTGATTATTATTTATTATTTATTTAAAAAAAAATAAAAAAAATTTATTTATTTTAAATTTTTTTTTTTTTTTTTTTTTTTTTGTTTAACCGACTTTTTTTTTTTTTTTTCATTATTATTTTTTTTATTTAATCACAACTAAATTTTATCAATAAAGCACAAATAAATAAAATATTATTATTAATGTTATTATTATTATTTCTCCACAAAAACTGTAAATTGTAATATTATTATACAATGTTTTTTTTAATTTATTATTATTATTTTGGTATTTCCAATAAAAAGGATAATATTAGATATAAATAATTATTTTTGGTTTTCTTGAGTGTTTCTCTATTAAATCTAATAAATAAAGATATTTTAAATTAAATTATTAGAAAATTAAAAAAAAAAATTAAAAATTTAATTATTTTTTTTATAAAAAGTTTTTTATTTTTTATCTTTTTTTTTATTTTTTTTTTTTACATCAACAAATAAACCATCTCTATTTTTATATTAAAAAAATGAATGATAAACTCTTTTTTTCAGTTTGGAGAAATATTTTCCTTCAAAGACATATTTTATATTTTATAAAAAATCAATTTATTGATTTTAGTGAAGCACATCTATCAAATAGAAAGCCTTATGGTAAGATTATATAAATAAATAAATCAAGTAATTAATTAAATAAATATTATTTAAATATTAACCTTTTTTTTTTTATTTTAATTTTTAATTTTAATTTTTAATTTTTTAGACCAAATTCAATCATTAACATGGATGTTAGAAAAAAGATTATACAATATTATTAAAGATAAAATAAAGTCAGGATCAATTTTAATTATCAATACAGCATCAATAGACTATTTAATTAAAAATTGTACAGATTATGATACATTCAAAATACTATTCGAAGAGAAGAAAAGCCAAATTGAATGTGTCAATTTAATCAAAAGATCAATAGAACTGGATTCAGTATTTTCTTTAGGTACATTTTTAAATTTATATGAAAATGAAGAAAATCAAGAAAATGAAGAAAAAGAAGAGAAAGATATTATGTCCACCGATCAAGATCTTTTAAATTTTAGATTAAATGAAAAAGAAAATATTAATATTTGGATGATGAATTTTGCATTAGAGTCATCCAAAATCAATGTTGCAGAGTATTTATTAGTAAACAGACCAGTACCACCACCAGAAAAACCAGGTTTACTTTTTCGTGGAGCGAAATTTTTATCAAAATTTGATGCATCATCAAAACCAGACCAAGTATTGTCTTTTTTAATAGAAAAGATGGGTGTGTCTTTAGATTTAGTAGTTCAAAATACCAAGTTACCATCAATGTTACCATCTATATACGGAATAACCAAATTAAAAACTATGGAATACCGTTTAGCATTCTTAAGAAATAAATATTTGAAGATTAGTTCAAATAGTCAAAATTTTCATCATATTGACTCACTAAAAGACATCGAAAAAAACTCATTGCCTCTTGATTTCCTCACTTATTCACTATTATTCAAGTATCACAAAAAAGGAAAGCAATATTATGATAGATTTATAAAATACTTATCAGAGATTTCTCCAGAAGAAACAACAATTGAAAAGATCTTGGATGACCATAAATCAAACTGTATAAATCAATATATCAACTACTATTTCAAAAAGAATCAATTAGATAAAATTGAACCATTACTTACACATTCAGATACCTTGGTTTTGTTATTCAGTCTATCATTAAAGAATTTTAGTATTGAAGGTTTAAATTTATTCAGTAAAGCTACAAATACAGCTATACCAGTTCCTCGTTCTTATTTAGAAAGAAGTACCCCATTGTTTACAATGAAAGATATCCAAATTAGAACAGAAAGTGAAGTTGTTGAATTCATATCGTTCATTGCCGATAAAAACGACATTGGTATCTCGTGGGTATCTGTATTTCAAATATTCCAACAATTCTATCCAATTGAATTATTTGACAAAGTTAAATCAATCTTTATAAAGAAGCTGAACAAGACTTTCTTACAATTTGTAACAGATTTCAGCAATAATCAATTCTTTGACTTTTTCAAAAACTTTTTCTTTGCCTCTGAACACAAAAACAATCGAATTGACACTGACTACATTGACTTATTTTTTCAAGTTTCATTATTATCAAATAAGCATCGCTATAAAGTTTTATTTAATAATATCAATGGCGATAAAATACAAGATCCATCCGAATCAATAAGAGTAATTGAATTTTTGATCGATAAACATTGTCAAGGTAACAAAAGAATTTTTAGTTCATTTTTAGGTTTATTCGATATTATAGTCGATAATTTATCACCACAAAATTTAGACTCACCCGAAGAAATTATTAAATACTACAACTTTTTAAAAACCGAAAAAATTCAATCTTTCATTTCTCAATACAACCTGGAGTTACTTAAATCAGCAGAAAATAGATCTTTAGAGAATTTATACTTTTTAAATCTATTGGAGATATTGCTATTTAACAGAACCATAACAACAAAATTTCCTTCGTATACTTCAGCATTTAATCGCTTATGTTATATCAAAAATAATTACGGTTTATCTAATATTTTAAAAAATAATGGTAGTAGTGATGGTTTAGATCATTCGATTAATTTAGACACTATAGTATCAATATTCAAAAGTATCAAGAATTTAAATAATAGTTCGGTTTCAAAATTGTATAATAGCCTATCAGCAATTTTAAATTCAAATATTTCATTTAATCAAAAAATTACTGAAATAGTTACTTATTTATTTAGTAACCAATATTTTAAAAATTTTGATTTAAGATTTGCAATTAAATGGCTGGATCATTTAACAAATAAACTATATATGGATGAAAATCAAGTTTTAGCTATTGTTAAATCAATTTATAATTCGATTCATCTACTCTATAATAAAACTAGAAAATCTGATTCCAATCATATGGAAAAAATACAAAAAAATCCACAACAAGGAGCCAGTGCAGAAGAAGATTACGATGACGAGTTAGATCTATTAAAAGAAAATCAAATATTATTACCAATTTTACCAGAAATCAATAATGAAGAAGAGGAAGGTGAAAATTTTACAATTCAACAGTTTGTTCAACAAATTCAACCACCAACTGTACAATCATTACTACCTGAACAAAACTCAATAGAGCAAAATATTGCAAAACTTCAAATATTTTTATCAAATTTAACAAGGAAAATAATTAGTCTCAATTTATTTAGTACTTTTAAATATTTATTCGAAAATGGGTTATATAGTCCAAAGAAATTTGGTGATGCACTAACCGAATATATGAATATTAGAATCCCTAAACAAGTGACAGTTCAAACCAATAGCGAATTAACAATCAAAATTAGGTCAGGAAATTTTCATAATTTAGAATGTGATTTAGATAAAATTAAAAAGCCAAATGGATATCTTTCGTTTTATGTCCTTCGTCCAACTTACGATATGCTATTATCAAACGCAACTGTTGAACAGTTCGATTACATGCATCGTTTAATATTTTCAACAATGGTTAATCCTTCAAAGTTATTGTTTGATATTGTTTATAAGAACCGTTTCGACCTATTTGAGCATTTCTCTGAAAAAATGGATTACTCTTCTGCAATACTCGATTTCAAGACTTTTAATTTTATCATTAACAATGGAGAGGTTTATTTTTTAGAATTATTAATCAAGAAATTTAATCAAATTTTTAAAGAACCAGAATCTAAAATCAGATTACCCTCTCAAATATTCAAAAATTCATTATTATCGGGCCACATTGAAATTACCAAACTTATTTTAAAACATTTCCCTCAAAGCAAAGATTTCAATGTAAACAAACAATTAACAAACTCAATTATTCAAATGGGAAAATCAAGCTCAATCAAGTTTTTATTTGAAAATAATCTTTTAATAAATTTGGATTATTTATTAAAGTCAAATAGTTTAACAACATGTAATGGTATATGGAAAATAGATATTTCTGAATTTTTTGTTTCCCTTATAAATAAAATTATTTTAAAACAACAAAATAATAATAATTACAACAACAGCAATAATAAAAAAAGTTTGGATAATAATTTAGAAATTACTACTCTAAAGAGAATTTATAAAAAAAGAAATAACTTGATAATGAATAGTTTAGCTACAGACTTAACTCAACAGTCAACAGGTGAACAACCATCAAAAAGACAGCGCGTAAAAATTAACAATGAATTAAAATTTTAAATAAACTATTTTTTTAATTAAAATTATTTTATTTTTTTTTTAAAAAGTTTTTTTTATACTGTTAATAATATAAATTTAAAAAGTAATATTATTTTTAAAAAATGAAGTTATTTCTTTTTCAATTGGGCTTATGTAGCAGTGGTGGTGGCATCAGCGGTGGTGGTAGCATCAGCGGTGGTGGTAGCTGGTGCAGTGGTGGTGGCATCGGCAGTGGTGGTAGCTGGTGCAGTGGTGGTGGCATCGGCAGTGGTGGTAGCTGGTGCAGTGGTAGTGGCATCGGCAGTGGTGGTAGCTGGTGCAGTGGTAGTAGTAGTGGTGGTGGCGGCATCAGTGGTAGTAGTAGTGGTGGTAGCGGCATCAGTGGTAGTGGTAGTGGTGGTAGCGGCATCAGTGGTAGTAGTAGTGGTGGTAGCAGCTGATGAGGCGGAAGATGAAGCTGATGAAGCTGATGAAGATGGAGCTGATGAAGATGCTGTTGAAGACTCTGATGAACTTGGAGTTGGCATACAGACAGCAGTACCTAATTGAACATTACATGTGTAGTTGGTTGGACAAGTAATGCCAGAGCATGGGTTTGATGCACCTGATGTACCAGTAGTAGCAATTGTTGAAGCAGTTGTGGCAATTGTTGAACCAGCAATGGTTGATGGCTTAATACAGGTTGGTTGTTGTTCACAGCATTTAGCGGCACCAATTCTGCAACGAGCTCTGGTCATAATACAAACAAAACCTGAGGCTTCACAGTTAACATCATCACAAGTTAAGCAACTATCTGGATTTAATCTACGAGTAGCGACACAAATTGGAACACGGTTGTGGTCTTCACATCTGTAACCTGATGGACATCTAGTATTTCTACAAACTCTTGGTACTTCATAACCTCTGACACAGGTAGCAATTCCATTTTCTGGTCTACAACGGAAACCTCTTGGACAATGTACGTTGTCACAGACATATCTGTTTGGATTAATGGTTGGTCTTGGTGGTCTACTTGGTCTTTTCTTTACACAAACAGCTTGACCATTGTGTTCCTCGCACACTTCGTATCTTGGGCATTCAATATTTGAACAAGCACTACCAGTTGATGTACCGCCAAAAGTGCTACTACCAGAGGTTGATGATGTGCCTGATGTGCTGCTGCTTCCAGAAGTGCTACTACCAGAGGTTGATGAGCCTGAAGTGCTTCCCCCACATCTCCAATGGCCTGAGCAACAAATTGTATTTTGATTATCACCGCAGCTTTCAGCTGGTACCCATGTACAGCCACCTGGGTTATTTTCTTGATTATTGTTAGATTCGTTAAATTGTTTATATTTGGTACCAAAGTCAGAATTGAAACAATTTGACCAACTTTGATAAATCTTATTATTTGAATCTTCCCAACATCTTAAAGTACTTGAAGTGTGACAATCACTTCCTGGAGCAACTGGTGCACAATAACCGGAATCAGCACCGCAACAATCTTTTAAACCATTTTCCAAATAAGTACATTCACTTTCTTTTTGAAGACATTGGTCTTTACCTAATCCAGTACCTAATTAAATTTAAAAATGAAAATTATTAATATTAGTTATTTTTTAAAAAAAAAAAAATTTATATTTACAATTATCACCAAATGCAGCATTTATTAAAGCAAAAGCTGAAACTAGAACATATAATACTCTCATTTTATTTGATTTTATATTATTATTGCTATTATTTACTGTTATTATTATTTTTTAAATATTATATTTTTTAAATTCAAAAATTTAGGTAATCTTTTCTCAGATGAAAAAAAATTATGTGTAATATTACTAATTGTATTATTATAAACTATTAATGTTATATTGTTGAATAAAAAATATATTATTTGATTTATGATCCTGTTTATTATTTAGTAAGGAATGAAATGAAAAATAAAAAAAATGTATAATCAATTTATTAATTTTTTTTTTCAATGTAAAAAAAATTATTTTCAAAAAAAATAAATAATTAAATTAAATTAAAAAAATTAATAAAAAATTCTACTATTATTTAATTATTTTTTAATTCTTACTACTTTTTTAATCATACAAATTATTGTTTCAATAAAAGTGTACTATTGAATATTTTATATAGTGCAATGTGTATTAGTGTTCTAATTTACTAATTAATTTTCATAATTATTTTTCATTCTTTGGATATTATTACTATAACTCTCACACTCACACTAGTTTTTTTAACACACATTAGCACACAATTATTTCAAAACATTATTATTTAATAAATTCAACACTACAACTATTCATATTAAGTAAAAAAAAAGAAATAATATGAATAATATATTCACCTATAATTTTTTTTCCCACAAAAACACACAACAAAATTTTTGGAAGTCATATTACCACACTAACACTTTTTCAAAAAAAAGTATGTTTTTAACACCCAACACACACTCACTCAATATTTGAAAATATACATTATCATTGTTATTTTAATTAACTTTAACACACTAAAAAGTAAAATTTTATTTGATTTTGAAAAAAGTATTTTTTTTTTATTTATATTTAGATTTAATTATTATTTTGTTTCATTCTTATTTAATAATTGTTTTATTTTAATATTTTTTCCAATTATGTAAATTTAATTTTTTAGTGGGTTTTTTTGTATTTCATTTTGATTTTACAAATTATAAAAATAGATTATTTATTTAATAATAAATATTATTGGCTACATATAAATTCTATAAAGAGTGTGCATAATCAATATAATATACATTTTTATTTACTATTCAAATATGGTATATAATTTTTAAAAAAAATTAATAAAACAACATCCATAAGAAAAATTAATATATGATTTACAATTAATCAATTTTTATATATAAATAGCACTTTTTTAATTTAATGTAAAATTAAAAATAAAAAAAAAGGTTAATAGTGTTTTTTAAAATTTAAGTAATTATTTATAATAAACTTAAATATAATGACTATTAAATAATTTTTTTAACATTTTACAATGAAATGAGTTTTTTAATAAATTTTTATAAAGAATATTAAAAATTTGTAGATTTTTAATTATTAAATACTATCTATTCAATTGAAAATTCCTAAATTATTTTACTTATCTTAAAAATAAGTTATTATTTTCAATTATTTTTTTAAAAAAAATGATAAAATATATTTGGATTTTAAAATCCTTTTGATTGAAACTATGTATTTAGTTTATATTTTTTGGTATGAGTTTAAACTGGATGTAAAAAATAATAATATAAATGAACTTTAATTCAAAGGGGTAGGAGAGTCAACCGAGCATAGATAAATGAAATGAACAATGATCATTATTAACGATAGGCTTGTGATTCAAGAAATCTGCTTGTGTGAGGTATCGTACCCAGAGCGGAAACTTTTACTCTGTGTAATAAACAAGGATCAACAATTATTTTAATTTATCAAAAAAAAAATTTTAAAAAAATAATTTTTTAAAAAAAATTAAAAAAATAAAAAATGTTGGGTTAATTCGTTTGTGATTTTTTTTTTAAAAAAATGGATAATGTCAATTGGTGTGATTTGGAAAACCAGCGAGACTGGGATTTGAATCCAGAGAGGCAAAGTTTTTTTTTTTTTTTCTTAAAAGTGAAGATGATTCTTAATGATGCATTAAATCATCAGTTTGTTGTATTGTGTTTTTGTTTGGTATCTGTTTAATACTTTTATGAGTTTTACCACACTGCATACAAGTTGGGCACGGTAATGTCAATTCGTGTGTGATTCGAAAATCTGCTGAGACTAGGTTTCGAACCCGGTGCGGTAACTTGTAGGAAATTCGTTGGTTATCATTGCTCCCCCGGCAAAGGATGCTCATGCAATTATATATCTCCTGGAAGATAATAGTCATTTAAAAATATTATATTGGAGAAGAAGGGTATCGATCCCTTTACCTCTCGCATGCTAAGCGAGCGCTCTACCATCTGAGCTACATCCCCTTTAATATGAAAATTTTATTTGAATTATCCTCAAGGACTTTTTTCTTTTCAATCAGAATAAAAATAGTAATGACTAAAAATAAATTAATAAAAGTCGTGTAACCCATTTTTATTGAAGGGGTAAGTCAAAAAATCGTGGTTACCAATTATTACAAAAACAAGAACTTTTTTTGAAGAGAAAGTGAAAATAAAAACTCACACTGAACATTACATGTATGGATTTTCATATAAAAAACCACATAAATAAATTAAATATAAATTATTATTCATGAATAATAATTAAATTTAAAAAAAAAAGTATTAAACTTTGATCCATTAAAACTTAATAAAAAAAATCAATTGAAAAAAAGAGAAAACTTAAAAGAGATATCAATTTTTATACAGAATATTCTATAAGTTTAAATCCCTACTTTATTTTTTGAAAAGATAGAGTAGGCTAGCCATTTACAATTTTTAATTATTTTAGAAAAAAATAATGAATTTCATAATTAACTTTAATTAAATAATTTTATTGTAATAAAATATTTTTAATATTTTTTTTTGTAAAAATAAATTTAATTATTTTGTATAATTTTTTTTTATCTAATATTGGATAAAAAAAAAAAAAAAAAAATCAAAAAAAAAAAAAAAAAAATTTATCAATATTTATTTTTTTTTTTTTTTTTTTTTGGAATTTTTTTTGGAATTTTTTTTTTTTTTTTTTTTATTAAAATTTAAATGAATCTTTATAAGATAAATATTTTTAATCAAAACACAGAATTAATTTTATTCATTTTAATAAAAAGCTATATAAAATAAAAAAATTTATTTTATAAAATTAAAATAAAAAAAAAAAATAAAGAAAAAAAAAATTAAAAATAAACAAAAATAATTTTTTTTTTTTTTTTTTTTTTTAAATTTTACCCCACCTTTCACACAGAATTAAAAAGAAACAATAAAAATACATACTATAGTTTATTCATTTTAAAGCAATAACCATAATAGTTTTATTTATAAATATATAACACGCCATAATGTCATCAATTAAACAATTGGAAGATATTATTTACGAAGTTAATAAAATTAATAAATCTTTATTAGACGACTTGTTAACATTAAAAGAAGATAAAAAGCTTACCAATAACCAATTAAATGCGGCTCTAACTGCAAAAGAAAAAGCAGAATCAAAATATGAAAGAGCTAAAAAGGATTTAGATACACATAAAAAGAGGTCTGAAGATTTCGAAGCCAAGCTAGTATGTTTATTAAAATAATAATAATTTAACCATTACCTTTTATTATATATTAATATATTAAACAAAATTACTAATACCATTTATTATATTTTTAGAGCGAAATAGAAATAGAATATAAAAAAATTGAAGAAGAATTTGAAAAACTAAAGATCGAAAATAAACAACAAAAAGAGACCATCGAAAACGATAAAAATCAAATCAATACAGTTATTAAAGAGAATCAAGAACTAAGAGAAAAGATAGAAACGAATGAACTCCATAACCAAGATATAGTGGATAAAGATAAAGCAATAGAAAGACTTGGGGATGAACTTAAAACATTACAAAATAAACTAACTGTATTAGAAAACCAAAAGAGTAAATTTGATTCCATTAAATCTGAAGAACATAAAAAAAGAATAGAAGCAGAGCAATATAGTGTTGGTCTAGAGAAGAGAGCGTCCGAACTTGAGGAAAAACTATCATCATTAGAAGATACCATTGCAGATTATCAAAAGATTCAAAAACAACTAAAAGAGCTAAAAGAGAAGCACGAAAAATTAGAGAATGAAAATAAAGAATTACAATTAAAGTATAGCAATAAAAATGAAAAAGAAGAAAGCGATCGAAATACCATGAAATCAATAGAACAAGAACTTGATGATTATAAGACAATGTTTCAAAATGAACAGCAAACACGTGAAAAAATAGAAGAAGAGGCAATGGCAATCAAATCGCATCAAAAGAAATTAGAAGATCAACTAAAACAGGAGAAAGCCAAAGTAATGGATTTAGATGATTTAAAATCACAATATCAAGAAGAAAAGAAATTATTAAAACAAACTATAGAATCCATCCAAAGCGATTATCAAAAAGAAAAGGACAAATTGCAAAATGAACTAGTTGAAAAGGAAAAACTACAATTAGAACTAAACCATAAAACACAAAAAGAAAATGATTATGAAACTAGAATTAAAGAATTAACGGAATCTCTACAGCAATCAAAATCATCTTTGGGTCAATTAAATATCGAATCACTACAACAAATTTTATTAAACTTTAACAACAAACAAAAAGTCAATAATAGTGAAAAACAATCATCAGGACAAGATGAAAATAACAATACAAACAGTGATGACATTAGCGATATTAGTTCAACTGCATCAGATTCTAATAATAATACTACAGCAACACCAAATAATATAATAGATGAAAATATATTAAAAGAGTACTTAGAAGACATTATATCAAAATCACAAAAGAATCATGAACTTTTAGAAAAGATCCAAGATGAAAGAAAGAAACTCCACGAAGAAAAACAATTATTTGAAGAAGATAGATTAAATTTTAAATCTGAACAATTAAATAATTTAAATAATCAGATTGACAACAGTAAAAAAAACAAACATAAAAAAATAAATAGTAGTATAGATAATAGTAATGCAAATCACGAACAACAAGGTGGTGCAACATCATTGACAGCTGCAGTTCTTCAATCACCAGTTAAATCATTTTCATCATTCTTTAAATCAAACAAAAACTCGTCAGATCTTAATGGATCAGATCACCATAGTGAAAACTCAAGTGGTTTACAAAGTCCCATTTCAATATCTAATAATCATGAAGGTGCAACCTCACCAACATCAGCAACTAACCATTTAGCGGCCACACCTCCATTAAATATTTCAGATGATGAAAGAAAAGAAAAACTATTCCAACTTTATCAATCACTTTTGGTAGACTGTAATACACTTTTGTATTCTAAACAGGATCAATTGGTAGATTTCGAAAAAGGAGGATTCATGAAAAAATTCCAAGTTAGTAATATTAAAAACTCAATCTCAAGAATTGAACCAATACAAGAAAAAATTAAAAAAACTTTAAAACTAGTTGATTCAAAACCCACTATTACTTTAGATGAAGATACAGAACATAGAATCCTATTTAAAATTTTACAAACCGATTTAGATAATGAAAAATAAAATAATTAATAAAACTTTATTTACTTACAAATAATTAAAAAAAATTTTATTTAATTATTTGTGTGTACATATATTTTTTTTTTGCCTTTTATTGGTGAGAAACCACTTGTTTTTTTACATTTACCTTTGTGTATGTCTCTTCAAAAACAACTTCACACCCACACACCCACACACAAAACAATTTTTTTTTTATTAAAATTATTTTTATTTTATTTAATTTAATTTTGGTAAATTTAATTTTTTTTTTATCATTAATTTTTTTTTTTTTTTTCTTTTTATTAAAAATAAATTTTCACAAACAAATAATTGGTTACATATAACAAATAAATAATGAGCTCATTTGCTGATCAAATAGAAAAAGATGTTGTATGTATATTATTAAAATAATAATATATTAATAAAATTTATTTATATTAATTTATGTTATTTTTTTTTTTTCTCCAATAGCAATCTATGTTAAAAAAATACAATGCTAAAGATTGCATTACTAAAGATGAAGCAATTTCTTACTTCAAGAACTCTGGAAGCAAATTCCCAGAAAGAAATGCAAGTTATCTATTCAAAGCCATGGATTTGGATCATGATGGCAAATTAACCTTAGATGAGATTAGAGCAGGACTTATTAAAGAGTATTCTGAAAAGTTGGAGGATACCATCGAACTCGATATTGACGCCTTTTTTTTGAAACATGATATCAACAAGGACCAAAAAATTCATAAGAAGGAAATGTAAGCTCATTAATTACTATCACTACTTTTTTTTCATTCTAACATATTTACTTTTTTTAGGATTCAATACTTTGAAGATCTTGGAACCCAATTTCCATCCCAAGCAGCTGAGGCCATCTTTAAAGATATTGATACGGATAAAGGTAAAGATAATTTATAAAAACCATTTCAATATTTATATAAATATAAATTTTTATTTTAATACTAATTTTTTTATTTTTAAAGATAACGTCATTACTCCAAATGAATTAGAAAAGGTAAATATATTACAATACTAAACTATAAAACATTAAATACAAATATACTGATTAACATTTATTTAATTTAAGTATTACAAAAAGAAATATAACTTTGGTCCACAACAATAATCTTTTGGTTCAAAAAATATAAAAAAAAAAAAAAAAAAAAAAAAAAAAAATTTTAAATAAACAATTTACTATCTTTTATTTAAAACAATTTTAAAACTATTAGGCTTAATATTTATACCAAAATTTTCATTTATCTCCAATGGTTTATTATCAATAGATGAAATTTTATAATTTAATAATAAATTTGAGAGAAAGAGATAAATAATAGAGGATGCCAATTCACGGCCAATACAATTACGCTTTCCCAATGAAAATGGCAAATATGCAGCACTATCACCATCAATAAAACGTTGTGGGTCAAAATCTTCAGGATTTTGGAAATATTTTTTATCATGATTTAGTGCTCTATAGTTTATCACCACCTGGCTTCCTTTTGGGATATAAAAACCTTTTAGCATTAGATCCTTATTTATAATCCTTGGAACCCCGAAAGGAACTATTGAATGAATTCTTATCACTTCTTTGCAAACAGAGTTAAAATATGGAGTTGAAGGGCGATCACCTAGTTTTACTTTATCTCTATCACCAACTACCCTTTTTATCTCTTGATAAACATTTTCTTGTATATCTTGATGATTTACCAAGTTTAAAATTGTCCATTCCAATGTTTTAGATGGTGTATCTGTTCCTGCAACTAACATATCTAAACAGTTTGCAACAATGTCCCTTGCATCTTCACTATCGTCTGTATTATATTCTCTTATTAATAAATCCAATAAACAATTTGACCTATAAAAATATCAATTTTATTATTAGTTTTAAATTTTGTTTTATTAATAAATCTTCACCTACTCTTCATTAAGGCTCTCTAATTTTTTAACATGCTTAATGTATCTTTGATACACAAAATCCCTTCCTATTGGGACGTAGTGTTCAAATTGTTTTAAATATAATGAATAAAATGGTTTTAAGATTTCTATATAATCGCCAACATGACCCACCCCAACCATATCAAAAACAAATTCTAACCATTCTGCAAACATTGAGACTACTCCTGTATTGATATCTTCATTGTATGAAACCTTTTCATTAAAAATATATTTAAACATTGTTGATAATGTAAAACGAGTTGCAACTAAACGCACAGGTAGAGCCTCCCCTGAATTTTCAAATGATTTGAATGATAACACCATATCCTCAACTTGATCATATATCATTTTATATAATTCTTTAATATTGATTTTTTTCATTACTTTTTGAAGCATCTCTCTGTTTCTATCCCATCTTTTGCTTGATAATAATATTCCATGTTCATCATCACTGCAATGTTTAAATGATGGTGTTAATGGTCTTTCTTTTAATGATTCATGATTATTTAAAAATAACTCTTTTATAATATCAATATCACTAACCACAACTGTATAACAATCGCCAAAATATAATCTATATATTTTCCCATACTTTTTAACTAATTGTTCACAAGTTATATGTGGCTTTTCACCTAAATTATGTAAATTTCCAATTATTGGTAATGGAAATGGTCCTTTGAGATCATTATTTGTAAACTTGATATATTTTTTGTACTATATTATAAAAAAAATATTATTAGTAATTAAAAATATATTATTATAAAAATAATATTTATTTTTACATTAGATTTTATTAAATAAATAAAAACAATAAGTAATAATAAATTTAATATTGATATCATTTTATATTACTAAAAAAACTAATGTGTGATTAAATTTTTTTAGCGTTTAAAATAAAAATAAAAATTTATAGTGGTTATAAATTAAAATATTAATATTTTTAAAAAAAAAAAATGATAACAGAAATTCTTTCAATAAATAAATTTTATTTATTTGTTGTTTTTAATTATTATTTACTATTATAATATTGTATTTTGAATTCCAATATTATATTATCTATATTGTTATTTACAATTACTATTGTACTATTATTGTATTGTTGTAATATTATATTTTTAAATTTTTAATAATTTTTAATTTTTATTGTGCCATTTCATAGCAATATATGGATCCCACATAAGACCAGTAGCAGACATAGCAATGTCTGCTCCAGCATCTAAAAATTGATCAAAGTGTTCTGGTTTAACAATACCACCACAGCCTAAAAGTTTTAAATTATTATTTTGTTTTTTGATGATTGATGAAGCAGTTGAAACCCAGTCAAGAGCAGCTGAACGAATTGGTGCACCACAAACTCCACTAGTTAAACGAGATTCGCCTAATGATGGTTCACCAGATACCTTGTCAGTTACTTTCATTGAGAGAGTGTTGATACCGGCGATAGCGGCAACGCCAGCATTTTCGGCTTGTTGGAAAAGCTTGGCCATTTTATCGAGATCTTCCATAACACCAACCTTGATAATAAGTGGAATATTTTTTGGTGCAAGTTCTTTAACAAGTGTTGATGAAATTTCATAAACTGCATCTGGGTTATGGTAGATTTGACCTTCACCTGTTACAACATTTGGGCAACTATAGTTAACCTCAACAATTTTAGAACCGGCATCAACGGCGATACGAACTGTATCAATAAAATCTTGAAGGAAGTCATGAGCAGTGCTTGCTGTACCAGTAATTGAAACGATCATTGATTGACCTTTACCTAAATAACTATGAGCTAAACCAATATCTTTATATAAATATTCTTTTGACATACTTGGCATACCAAATGAATTTGTAATAGCCAATTGATCCATTGTTGATGGTACATTACTTGTTGCATGAATAGTTCTACCACTGTCGCTCTTAGTGAATTGTTTACTATCTTCGCCGTCTAAATCTAAATACTTTACATTTGGTACTGGATGACCAAGATGATGATGACTTCTAATGGTTTTATATGTTGGTAAATCGAAACCAGATTCCAATGCGAATTTAACCCATTGACTATTTAATAATGGACCTGCTGGTACACCCAATGGACTTGCTAATTTAGCACCTAAAAAATCTATAAATTTGCTCTCATCTAAATTATCTCTTCTTTCTTGATATTTATATCCCTCGACAAATGGTCCATTTTCTAAATTATCTTCCCAAGATTTATTAATATCGTAAATTGGTTTATTAATTGGCCACTCCATTTTTTTATCTTTAATGTTTTTTTTTGTTTTTTTTGTAAAAAAATTAAAAAATAATGAAATAATGAAATTAAAAAAATTAAAAAAATTAAAAAAATTACAATTAAAAAAAAAAATACGAAAATTTATTAATTAAAAAAAAACAAAAAAAAAAAACGAAAAAGAATATCAGTAAATATATTTATATAAATTATAGGTTTAATTAATAATTATATATCAAATTTTTTAAATATTAAATAAAATATATGCACTTACCTATTCTCGGTTTTTTTTTTTACAATCGAAAAATTTTATTTTTAAATTAAAATTTTTTAAAATTTTAAAATTTAGGGGCAATAAAATCAAACAGGTTATTATCAAATAACAATATAGGAGATTAAATAAATAATTAAATAAATAAAAAATGTAAGTTAATTTATTTAGTTAAACTAATTGTTATTTTTAAATTATTTTTTTTTTTTTTTTTATTATCGTAAATAAAAGTTTTTTTTTATTTATTATCGTATTTTAGGTGTTTCTTTCTATTTCGGCCCCACCGACTATTTACCAAATAACCGTAGTCACTTTTTTTTTTATTTATTTTTATTTTTTTTTTTTTTATTTTTATTTTTTTTTTATTTTTTTTTATTTTTTTTTAATTTCAAAAAACGAAACGAAACTATATTTTTTTTTTTTTTTTTTTTTCAATCTTTTTCTTTTCTTTCTCTCTTATATAAAAAGATAACTTTACAAATAAATTTAAATTAAATTGCTTTTTATTTAAATTTATAATTAAATTTCGAAAATTAACAATTAAACCTTTTAATTTTCTATTCAAAAGTAAAGTCCCCTCTTTTTTATAACGAAAAGAAAACACACATTTACCCCATCTATTTTTTTATTTATTTTTTAATTTTTTTAAAATTCATTTTTATATATTTCATTTTTTTTGTAATATTTAATATTCTATAATTATATTATTCATACACATATATAGCTTTTTATTATAAATTAAATTTATAAAAAGAAAAAAAAAAAAACCCCAATTGTTAAAATAAATTAAATCATTATTAATTTATTATTATTTTTTACATTACACATTTAAATTAAATAGTTTTTTAAAAAAAAAAGGTAAGATATAATATATTAATAATGGCCAAATAAAATTAAAAAAAAATATATAATTAATGTATTTTTTTTTTTTTAAAACCTAAAAAAAAAAGACAAAAAAACATATATATAAATATAAAAAACCCTAAAAAGAAATGGAAAATATTTTAAATAGAACAAAAGGTTATTTAGTACTCGAAGATGGTACCAAGTTCAATGGTTACTCATTCGGTAGTGAAAGATCAGTTGCTGGTGAATGTGTATTTTCAACAGGTATGTAACTTTTTCTTTTTTTTTAATCAAATTTAATATCTTAATTTAAAAATTAATTATTTTTTATAGGTATGGTTGGATATAATGAATCAATTTCAGATCCATCTTATACAGGTCAAATTCTTGTATTTTCATATCCATTAATCGGTAATTATGGTGTTCCATCATTCAACGAACGTGATCCAAACTCAAATCTTCCAATCAATTTCGAATCAGAAAAAGCTCATACACAAGCAATTATCTGTTCAGATTACTGTGACGAATATTCACATTGGGCAGCAGAAAAATCTCTTTCAGAATGGCTTAAAGAATCAAATATTCCAGGTTTATATGGCATTGACACCCGTGCTTTAATCACTAAAATTCGTGAGAAGGGCTCTCTCAAAGGTAAAGTGATCATTGGTGACTTTGATGAAAGTAAATTAGAATTTGAAGATATCAACCTTAGAAATCTTGTTGCAGAAGTATCAACTAAAACAATCAAGACCTACAAGGCTCCAGAAAACTCAAAGAGAAAGAACAAAAAAGTTATCGTTTTAGATTGCGGTATCAAGAATAACCAAATTCGTTGTCTCTTAAATCGTGGTGTAGATCTTAAAGTTGTACCATGGGACTACGATGTCGTTGCTAATGAACCAATCAACGAATATGATGGTGTATTTATTTCAAATGGTCCAGGTGATCCATCAGTTTGCGGTAAAGCCATCGAAAATATTAGAAAACTCTTTGCTTTAGAGAAATCAAAAGCTTTATTCGGTGTTTGTATGGGTAATCAATTATTAGGTCTTGCTGCAGGTGCTAAAACTCATAAAATGGCCTTTGGTAATCGTGGTTTAAATCAACCATGTGTCGATCAAATCAGTGGTCGTTGCCATATTACATCACAAAATCACGGTTTCGTTATAGATACTGGTTCTCTTCCAGCTGGTAGCGGTTGGAAAACTTATTTCATCAATGCTAATGATGCTTCAAATGAAGGTATTTATCACGAATCCAAACCATGGTTCTCTGTTCAATTCCATCCAGAAGCTATGGCCGGTCCAACCGATACTGAATATCTCTTTGACAATTTTGTAAACTATGTTTGTGGTGAACCATTCACCTCCCCAATGAATAAATCAAAGGTTATCGAAACACCAAAGAATATCAATAAAGTTTTAATTTTAGGTTCAGGTGGTTTATCAATTGGTCAAGCTGGTGAATTCGATTATTCCGGTTCACAAGCCATTAAAGCTTTAAAAGAAGAAGGTATTAAAACTATTGTCATCAATCCAAATATTGCTACAGTCCAAACTTCACCAGGTCTTGCTGATAAGGTTTATTTCCTTCCAGTTAACGCTGCAAGTGTACAAAAAGTTATCGAAAATGAAAATCCAGATGGTATTTTAGTTACTTTTGGTGGTCAAACTGCACTTAATTGTGGTATCGAACTCTATAAATCAGGTATTTTAGAAAAACACAACTGTAAAGTTTTAGGTACTCAAATTGAAACTATTATTGCCACTGAAGATAGAGGTATCTTTGCTGAAAAATTAGCCGAAATTAATGAACGTATTGCTCCATCTATGGCATGTAATTCATTAGAAGAATCAATTGTCGAAGCAGAAAAAATTGGTTATCCAGTTATTGTTAGAGCTGCTTATTGTTTAGGTGGTTTAGGTTCTGGTTTTGCCGATAACAAAGATCAATTAATTGCTTTGGTTACTGAAGCATTAGCAACTTCATCACAAGTTTTAGTCGAAAAATCATTAAAAGGTTGGAAAGAAATTGAATATGAAGTTTTAAGAGATAGTAAAGATAATTGTATTACTGTTTGTAACATGGAAAATTTCGATCCATTAGGTATCCATACTGGTGAATCAATTGTTGTTGCTCCATCACAAACCCTTACCGATAAAGAATATCAAATGTTAAGAGAAACTGCAATTAAAACTGTTCGTCATTTAGGTGTTGTTGGTGAATGTAATATTCAATATGCTTTAAATCCACACTCACAAGAATATTGTATTATTGAAGTAAATGCTCGTCTTTCTCGTAGTTCAGCTCTTGCATCAAAAGCTACCGGTTATCCATTAGCTTTCATTTCTGCTAAAGTTGCATTAGGTTTCGATTTAGCTGAACTTAGAAATACCATCACCAAAAAGACCACTGCTTGTTTCGAACCATCATTAGATTATCTTGTTGTTAAAATGCCACGTTGGGATCTTAAAAAATTCACTCGTGTTTCAAACAAAATTTCATCATCAATGAAATCTGTAGGTGAAGTTATGTCAATTGGTAGAAAATTCGAAGAAGCTATCCAAAAGGCTATTCGTATGGTTATGGATAATACAGTCGATGGTTTCCAAGCTGGTGTATTCCCAACATCAGACGAAGAACTTGAAAACCCAACCAATAATCGTATTTTAGTTTTAGCTAGTGCATTCAAAGATGGTTATTCAGTCGAAAAAGTTCATCAATTAACCAAAATCGATAGATGGTTCCTTACCAAATTAAAATCAATCATCGACTTAGAAAACCATTTATCAACATACTCAACCCCATCAGCTATTCCAAATGAAATCTTAAAATTCTCAAAACAACAAGGTTTCTCTGATAAACAAATTGCAAAAGCTATTGGTGCTACCGAATTATCCGTTCGTGATCACAGAAAGAAATCAGGTATTATTCCAATTACCAAACACATCGATACTGTTGCTGCCGAATTCCCAGCCCAAAACAATTATCTCTACATGACTTATAATGGTGAAACCAACGATATCGACATTAAAGATAAATCATACATTACTCTTGGTTCAGGTTCATACCGTATTGGTAGCTCAGTCGAATTCGATTGGTGTGGTGTTAGTTGTATCCGTACTCTTCGTTCATTAGGATTAAAATCAATTATGATCAATTTCAATCCAGAAACTGTCAGTACCGATTATGATGAATGCGATTATCTCTACTTTGAAGAGTTATCATTAGAAAGAGTTTTAGATATCTATGAACGTGGAGGTCCAAATTCAACACATGGTGTCATCTTATCAGTTGGTGGTCAAATTCCAAATAATTTAGCTATCCCACTTTCACGTTGTGGTGTTAATGTACTTGGTACTCATCCAGATATGATCGATTCAGCCGAAAATCGTTACAAATTCTCACGTCTCCTCGATACTGTTGGTATTGATCAACCATTATGGAAAGAATTAACAAGTGTTGATGATACCAAAGTTTTCTGTGAAACTGTTGGTTTCCCATGTTTAGTTCGTCCATCATATGTTCTTTCAGGTGCTGCCATGAATGTTGTTCACTCTTCACAAGATCTCGAAACTTTCTTAAGTGAAGCCGCTGCTGTCTCACGTGACTATCCAGTTGTTATTTCTAAATTCATTCAAGAAGCAAAAGAAATTGAAATCGATGCTGTTGCTGATAACGGTCAAATCGTTTTATTCGCTATCAGTGAACATGTCGAAAATGCCGGTGTTCATTCAGGTGATGCTACTTTAGTTTGTCCAGCTCAAGATCTCGATGATAATACTATTCTCAAAGTTGAAGAAACAGCCAGAAAGATCGCTGCTGCTCTTAATGTTAGTGGTCCATTCAATATTCAATTCATTGCTAAAAATAACGAAATTAAAGTTATCGAATGTAATTTACGTTGTTCACGTTCTTTCCCATTCGTTTCAAAGACTCTTAATGTTAACTTTATCGAATTAGCTACCAAGATTATCATTAGTCATCCATATGACTTACCACAAGTTCAATCAGTTGATTATGTTGGTGTTAAAGTACCACAATTCTCATTCATTCGTCTTAAAGGTGCTGATCCAGTTTTAGGTGTTGAAATGGCATCAACTGGTGAAGTTGCTTGTTTCGGTAATACTCGTGAAGAGGCTTATATTAAAGGTTTAATTTCAACTGGTTTCCGTGTTCCAGAACAAAATGTTTTACTTTCAATTGGTTCATTCAAAGAAAAAGAAGAATTCCTTCCATCAGCCAAGAAATTAGTTTCACTTGGTTTCACTTTATTCGGTACCCAAGGTACCGCAGATTATTACAGCGAACAAGGACTCCCAGTTACTCAATTAAATTGGGACGAAGAAGAATTAGGTGAAAATGTTATTCAAAAGAGAATGACCGAAAGTACTATTCATTTATTCATTAATTTACCATCAAAGAATAAATATCGTCGTCCATCTTCATTCATGTCAAGAGGTTACAATCTTCGTCGTGCTGCTATTGATTTCCAAGTTCCATTAATTACCAATATCAAATGTGCTAAATTATTTGTTGATTCAATCCCATACATGAAGGGTCCAATGCCATTAGACACTGTTGATTGTCGTTCATCAAACAAGATTGTTCGTCTTCCAGGTTTAGTTGATGTTCATGTTCACTTAAGAGAACCAGGTGCTACCCACAAAGAAGATTGGGATAGTGGTACAGCTACTGCTCTTGCTGGTGGTTTTACTATGGTTGGTGCTATGCCAAATACTAGTCCAGCTATTATGGATCAAGCCACTTTCGAACTTGCTAAACAATTATCATCATCTAAAGCTCGTTGCGATTTTGGTATTTTCATTGGTGCAACCTTCACTAATACCACTACTGCTGGTAACTTTGCAAACGAAGCCATGGGTATGAAAATGTATTTAGAAGAAACATTTGCTCCACTTCCATTAAAAGACGATATCAATGTTTGGAGAGATCACATTATGAACTGGCCAGATAATACTACCCCAATCTGTGTCCACGCTGATGGTCGTAATCTTGCTGCCATTTTACTTTTAGGTTGGATGTACAATAAACAAATGCACGTTTGTCATGTTAGTCACAAAGAAGAAATCGATATCATTCGTGATGCCAAGAAACGTGGTATGAGATTATCATGTGAAGTCTCACCACATCATTTAACACTTTGCGATAAAGATATTCCACGTATTGGTGCTGGTCAATCAGAAGTTAGACCAAAATTAGGTACTGAAGAAGATATGAAAGCTCTTTGGGATAATATTGATTATATCGATATGATTGCCACTGATCATGCTCCACATACTTATGAGGAAAAATGTAGTGCCAAACCACCACCAGGTTTCCCAGGTTTAGAAACTTCATTACCATTAATGCTTACTGCTGTTCACCAAGGTAAAATTACCCTCGAAGAACTTGTAAAGAAAATGCACACCAACCCAATTCAAATTTTCAATCTTCCAGAACAACCAGATACTTATATCGAAGTCGATATGGATCAAGAATGGGTCATTCCAAAGAAACCACTTTACTCACGTTGTGGTTGGACTCCATTTGAAGGTCTTAAAGTTAAAGGCAAAGTTGTTAAGGTTGTTTTAAGAGGTCAAACTGCTTTCATTGATGGTAAAATTTTAGTCGAAAAAGGTTATGGTATGAATTTACGTTCAAAAGAATACCTTGCAGAAGTTGAAAGACTTAAAGAACAAAAAACAAAAACTCAACTCTCATTTGTTGGTGAAAAGAGTGTTACTCCATCAGTTCAATCTCCAACTATTATTAGCTCACCAAAGAAACCATCAAAACCAGTCGAATCACACCTCCCATTAGTTGGTGGACCAAATATTGTCGGTAAGAGAGAAGATATCTTACAATCATTGTTCAATGCTTCAGATAACTCATTTGTTGGTAAACACGTTTTCTCTGTTAAACAATTCACTCGTAAACAATTACATACCCTCTTTGCTATTGCTCATGAAATGAGAATTCTCGTTAAAAGATCAGGCGGTTCAGATCTCCTTAAAGGTAAAGTTATGGCTACTCTCTTCTATGAACCATCAACTCGTACTTGTTGTTCATTTACTGCTGCTATGGAAAGACTTGGTGGTAGAGTTGTAAATGTTGACAATGTTTCTTCATCAGTTGCCAAAGGTGAATCAATTTCAGATACCATCCACACCTTAGAATCATACTGCGATGCTATTGTTATGAGACATCCAGCTGTTGGCTCAGTCGAATCTGCTATCTCTGTTGCTAAAAAACCAATAATTAATGCTGGTGATGGTGTTGGCGAACATCCAACTCAAGCTTTATTAGATATTTTCACTATTCGTGAAGAATTAGGTACTGTTAATGGTCTTACTATTACTTTAGTTGGTGATCTCAAGAATGGTCGTACTGTACATTCATTAGTTAAATTATTATCACTCTATCAAGTTAAAATCAACTATGTTGCACCAGAATCACTCTCAATGCCACAAGAAATCATTAAAGAACTCAACGAAAAAGGTATTGAACAAAAACAATTCACTTCACTTGACTCAATTTTGTCAACAACCAACGTCTTATATGTCACTAGAATTCAAAAAGAACGTTTCTCAGATTTACAAGAATATGAAAATGTTAAAGATTCATTCGTCATTACTCCACAAACCTTAACCAAAGCTTTAGATAATATGATTGTTATGCATCCATTACCAAGAATTAACGAAATCTCCCAAGAAGTCGACTCTGACCCAAGAGCTGCTTACTTTAGACAAATGGAAAATGGCATGTATGTAAGAATGGCCTTATTAGCTTTACTTTTTGGTAAAAATTAAATTAAACACCTCCCAATTAAAATATAATAAATTAAAATAAATTTTATGTATATATAAAATAAATTAAATAAAAAAATTTATAAAAAAAATAAAACATTTTATGTTTAACCTTTATTTCATTTTGATTTAATTAGAGAAATTTATAATTATTTATAAAATTAAATTATAATTGGGATTGTTGGGTTGTTGGCAATACCACAAAGGTTTTTTCCTTTCTTCATATATATATAACCATCAATACCATAATCTTCTCCATATGAATTCTTTACAATCCAATAGTTTTCAGTATATCCAACAATTAATACAAAGTGATTGGTATATATATTGGAGCAGAAAAGATCATCATAAACACCACCAAAATATAATTGAAAGAAAATAGATGATGCATCAATGGCCACAGAAACTGGTCCTTTAGTAGCAACTGCATTTTGGATAGTACTCTCATCACTAATTAAATTGGCAAAATTATTTAAAGTTGCTCCAATAAACTGATCTTTAAATCTACATTTACTTTTTTGGGCTTCATAAGGGTATGAACTTTCTTTTGGAATTTTTCCATTTTGGTGTTTAAATAGATAGTTAAAAGAGTTAACAACTGTTCCTCCATCACACCCTCTATTTCCTTCAGAACCACTACAATCTATTAGATTTTGTTCAGATAACCTTATTAATTGACCGTTCTCTATTTTATTTGAGCTTTCGAGTGATCCAATAGCACTAATAAATAATAAAATTAGAATAATATATATAAATAAAATTTACTTTAATATTACCTAAATGCATAACCAGAATTACAAAAACCTTGGTTTTTCACTGGGGTAACAGCTCCTTTAAGTCTCCAATCAAATGTTGTGGGAATATCATATCTTGAGGAGTTTATCCTTATATAGTTTTGAGTTTTAATATTTGAACCCAAAAATAAAGATTTGTACTCTTCGTTTGATAGGTCTGCATATTTGTTTAAACCTAGAATTGTTTGTGAATTTCCTTTATTCCAAGAGTAAATAAAATCCATATTATATTTAAATATTTCATATCTTTTTTTAAAATCTAAAGTTTCATAAAATTTGTTGTTTTCATTTGCCCAACTTATAAATTTATTTTGATAAATTATTTCTGTAAAAAGTTTATTGCAGAAAACATTTTGATTTAAAAATATAAGTAAAATAAACCCAATAAAATAATATTTCATTTTTAATGTTAAAAAGATTTTTAAAAAAAAAAAAAAATTGTTTAAATAAATAAATTAGTTTTGAAGAAATATTTTAAGTATTTTTAAAAATCGAATCTTTTTTTAAAAAAACAAAAAATTGATATGGTATATATTATCTATTTTTATTTGTAAAAAAAATAATTTTTCATTTTTTAAGAGATTTAGAAAATAAATAAAAAATAATTTAAAAAAAAATGAAAAAAGAGATTTTAAAAATATTAATTATTGAGTTTTCTTTTTGTTTTTATCAATATTGAAATAGAATTTAAATTATTATAAATCTTTTATTTATTTTATTTTATTTTATTTTATTTTATTTTATTTTATTTATTTTATTTATTAGTTTATAAAGCTCCATTCCAGCCAATCCATGCTCTACTTAATATATTTGGATCAGTTGACTGATCAATTAAACAATCAACTTGTTCTTTAACAGAAGAGCAAATTTTATTAACTTTTGAACGGATGTTGTATTTTGGATCACCTTTAATAATTTCTTGGAGATTTTTTTCATAGGGAGAATTGGAATGAACTGAGGCTGATAGTTCCTCTAAAGTAATATATGCTGGATTGTAAAGATCTAATTTCTTTTTTGCAATATGAATCTTTTGTTTTGGGAACCAAACATTTTTTGTATCTTTTGGATGCTTACCCTGTTCTTTAACGAGACGATTTGCCAATTTGCTCCAATCTAATAGTGGTTCTTTAACGAAAACATCCATAGTTGTTAAAAGGATATCTTTATGTGATTGAAGTGCGGAAAGAGAATAGGTCATATTATGATTTAAAAGACCAACAGAATCTAATGGTCTAAGGAAGCTAGTAAATTGACGGGTTAAACGGAATGGCATCAATTCAGGAATTGGAAGGAATTGTGTAGCTGTACCAAATGCATGACCAAAATCAATACCAATTAAAGTACCATCACGCTGACTAATTAAAAAGTTTTCTAAATGACGATCACCAATACCAATTACATATGAACAAACTGAGAATGTTGCCAATGAACGTGCAAATGAGTTTCTAATGAATAGATAGGACTCTGGTGATGATGATAATGCCCAAATACCATTTTGTAAAAGGTTTTCAGGTACCTTTGCAATTTGTTTCTCAAATTTCTTTACTGCATTATCTCTATTTGCATGTATAAACATTTGTTGATAAAGTGGACCTGGTGAATTGATTTTAGAGTATTTTGCAAATGATTGGATCCAAGTATTATGAATATTTGTTGCTTCTAATTTTGAAATTGAAACATTTGAACGGGGTGTTTTGGTTTGAATTGCTATTTGATCTTCCAAAATTTCTCTTAGTGGTCTGGTATCATTAATCCATTCGATAATACCAACCTTGCTAGTCATTGGTATAACTTGATATGTTGTAACTTTAAGACCACGTTTATTGCATGAATTATCACGTTTTAATATTTCGTTCATAATCATAAAGAGCTGTTGAATTCTTTGATCTAAACGTAAATCTTCACCACCTTTAATAAGGAATGGGTAGTCCCTTTCGTCATTACCATGAATCTTGATACGTTTTGGTTTACGTAATGAACCCATAACTAAGATATTGCTATCGAATGATGAAATTGTAACATGGGTTTCAGGTTGTGGTTTGCCAAATCCATTATATTGTCCTGGTATTTCAAGTTGCTTTGATGTTGGGTAATTTGAACGATCAAACTCTGTTAACCAATAGCTAAAATCTTTTAATTTCATTGTTGCTGTTGAAGTTGGTCTCATATTTTTATTCATTTCACTAGACATTTCAGCAAAATGCTCTAAGAATTTCTTTTGATCCATTCTTGAAAGTATTGTAGCATCTTTACCATAATATTTTAAATACTTATCTTCCCATTCTTTTGCAAATTTAATGTTGTAATCACCGCTAACTGTTTTTGGATTAAATGAATCGTCATATATTTCAGAGTTTAAAATTGAAATTGCTGATATATCTTTAGTTGGAGATTTGATTAATGATTTCATTTCTTCCATAAAATCTTTGAAACGATGTTCTGGATGGGTAAGACGAGCAAATTCAATTACTAAACGATCTAAAAGTGGATCGCTTAACTCTTTTTCTAATTGTACTGATAGTTTTTTAGCCATTGGGCCAAATTGTTCACTACTAATTTTGTAAGGGAAATAAATAGCTTGTGGGTAATATTTAGCAATATCTAAAAGGAGTGGTAAAATAAGTGGACCTTGTGGTAAATCTAAATATGGGAACATTTGACTAATCCATCTAATAAACATCCAACAGGGTATATTTGAAACATGTTCTGTAAATTCTTTATTAACTTGTTGGTATTGTTCAAATTGTGTTAAAATTTCTAAAAGTCTAGGGAATTTATCAATTGATCCAGGTAATTCTTCTCTAATTGCTTCTAATGTTGATTTAATTACAGTTAGTGCTAAGTTTAATGTTTCTTCATTAATTTGGCCATTGTTCGATTGTAATTTATCTTTTAATATGTTATCACAAAAATTTGCAAATTTAAGATGGGCACTTTTAATTTTAGTTTTTTCTATTAAATTAAAATTATTAATTTCTGATGTTTGAGAGGATGGGTTATTATTTGATTGGGGGTTGTTTACTTGACTTGATAATTGTTGGCTTGATCCTGTTTGGTTTGATTGTTTATTTTTATTAATTTCATTTAATTTAATTGATTCGCTATAGCACGAAAATGTTAAATTAAATAGTTCATCTTTTAATTTGTTGATTGGTATTGAAGTTAAATGAGATGGTAATTCATTTTTTTTAAAAGATTCGTTTACAAATTTTGATCCTAGCTTTTTATCTAATTGATAAATATCCCAGAAAATATCACCATGCATCATTAAATATTTTTGTAAATTTTCATTAATTGATACAATTGATTCTTCATTCTTTTTAGACTCAATGAACTTTAAAGCTTTAACAAATCTGTCAAGAGTCTCTATTGGTGATGCTGAGGTTCTTGCTTTTATACAATATATATCTAATAGTGAGCTAACTAATGGAAAAGCTAAATCGTTCTCTTTGGTCTTTGGATAAGATTTTACTGAAAGACGGAAATAAGTTTCAGAAACAACAATATTACCTAGTTTTCTAGCTCCTTTAGACATTTTATGATAGAGAATGGCTCTTTCTTGAATTAGTTTACTCTTTACACGATCTTCGGATGATTTGTCTGTACAAAATGTTGAGAAACGTTCATAAATCTTTTCTAATAATACAGAACGATAGAAAACCAAATCATCCCAAACCATAATATCATCTTGTTTTGAAGGGAATCTCTTTTTCCATTGAGATAATAAATGATCTAATTGATTATTTGAAATATTTTGATTTGATGTTAAGTTTAAAAATTCTTCGACCTCCACAATCTTTTGAAGTGGCTGTAAAATTCTATGTCTTGATGCAATTGCTAATGGATGTGATGATGACCATTGTTGTTTAAAGTTTTGATAAAATTTAGAGACATAATATGCAGCTTTATTATGGTCAGATCTTGTAACTTCAAGGAATGCTAATTCACCAGAGAATTTATCTTCAAGGTATTGATATTGATGTGGTTCTAATTTTCCAATGAATTGATATAGTTGGTTCCAATTTTCTTTTACCTTGAGATTAAATTCAAAGAGGTAGCTTAAAAGTAAATCACAATTGTTCTCTTTGAATACTGATATAGGATCGTTATAGTATGAATAAAAGTTCTCTTTTAGAGCGTTCCAATTACCAAGTTTTGCATAGCATTCCAAACGCCCATTCTCCCAGAGTGAGGTTTCTGATTCTGATAAATGGAATTGATTTAATTGACCCTGTTCTAGTTTCGAAGTAGCTTCATCATAAACTTTTAACACATTTACCCAATCTCCTTTTAATTCAAATTCCAATGCTTTCTTGGTGAATGGGATATCACTCATTTGTTTCTCTGTTAAACCCATAATAATATCTTCTTCTTTTAAAGATTTGTAAAGTTCTCTTAAATTATCCCAACCACTATTAATATCTTTTTCTTGTTGTTTATGAGATTGTAACTTTAATATTAACTTTTCAATTAATATTATTGCCATAGGGTGATTATTACTATTTAAACCAATATCTTTTATCTTTGAAAACTCTGGTGAAAATTCTAAGTTCTTTTCGCTTATACTTAATATTGAGGAAACTAATGTTGAATTATATTTACATTGGTCTACGATTGATTCGATTGATTTCTTGATGTTTTGTTGGAAACTTCTAATATTTTCTTGTTGGGTTTTATTATATATTGAGGAGAATAATAAACTGAAAATATTAACACCAATGTTGGAATCACGTTGGCATAATATTTGAAGTGGTTTTATAATATCTTGGAGTTTAATTTGAATATCTGGTAATTCACCAGTACGGTATTTTCTAATCATTGTTATTTGGTTTTCACGAGCTTGTTTTGATTTTTCAAAGAATGCTTCTCTATCAATATTCTTTTTAACTTGCATTCTTGCAAATTTAACAACCCTTTCATCACTTCCTTTATCATCAATCTTTTTAAATCTTTTTCTTAGTTCATTATTTTCAAATGATTTTGGATTTCTATATAAAACTCTTTGTTGTTGACTATTATTTGATCTAGATGATTGCGATGATTGTTGTGATGATGCATTGGAAGACTCCTGACTTGATGATGGATAAAATTCGCTAAATGCTGTTTGGGTTAATGTAAATTGTGGTGCTTGGGTTGCTCTAATTTCATCTATGTCCATTTGATTACTTGAAGCCTCTTCACCATCTACTCCATATTGAGAAGAGCTAAATAATGGATTCATATTTAATGTTCTATGTTGCCATGATGAGTCTAATTGAACTTCTTTGAATGAGCATTCGCTTAATGGTTTATCAAACAAAACTTTACAAAAGTCACTTGATCTATTACAAAGTTGTAATAAAAGACAGCAGTTATTTCCAACCCATTTGGATTCTGTTTCGGGTGAATACATAATTGTAAAGAATTGTTGTAATCTTTGATTTGAATTTGATGAAAGTGTTTTGGTATTGTTATCCCAGAACTCCAATAGCTTTTTGTTAATTGATTCACCTTCATCAGATAAACCAATCAATAAAGATAATATTAATTGTTTATCATCTTGGAATTCTGAAAAGTTATTATAGATATAGATGACGATATCATAGAATAAAGAACGGCTATATTCGCTTGTTATATTTGATGTGAAAGAATTGTTTAATAATAAAAGTTGTAAAATTTGTCCTATTGTTGACACAGGTGTACCATTCTTTTGAACTAATTTATAAAGTATCTTTAGTATTACCACTTGAATTTCACCTTCTCTAATTCTAATAAGGTTTTCGATATTATTTGATTTTAGTTTCAAGTAGAGATCTTGAATATCATCAACACACCATAACACTATATTTAGTACAATTAATCTTGTTTCGTTTGAAATTTGTGGTAATAGATTGAAAATCTTTCCATAGAAGTTTTGAAGGAATAGTGGATAGTGTAACCCTATGAAATATAAACAACTAAATGCTCTTTGAGTTTCATTATTACCTAGAATTGAATTGATTTTATCTTTTAATAATTGAGAGAATACTGACTGAATGTTATTCTTTGAGTTGTATAATAATATCATACCACAAACTTCAGATGCAGCATCATATAATTCTTTGAAATCTTGTAAATGGTCCAATAAAATTTGATAAAATTTAAATTCGCTAATAAGGTCACTATCGTAATCTTTGTCATATGCTGGGAATCCATTAGAAAGTAAAATGGAGAGTAACACTAGACCAGTGGTCTTCATTTGTCTACTCTTACTCTTGAAGTCACCTTTTTGTAAAAGCAATTCTATGATAATGTTTTTATTGATGTGGAATAACGATCTCCATCTTTCTGTGAATGATTTTACTATATTTAAATTGCTTTTTAAAATTCTTCTGTCTGGACAATAGGTATTCTTCATTAAGAAGTTCATAAATTTTGATAGATGGTTTTCTAATGATGTTGGTGGTCTTATTTCGCCTTCATCAAGCTTATAAATATTTGGCCATTTTAATAAAATAAAGCAAACATCACGAACAAAATAGTGTAACCCTTGGCCACCATTATTTTCTGATACAATATAATCCATTAAAATTGGTATCCATAGTTCGTGGAATCTTTCGAAATAACTTGGTCTATTAATGATAATCTTTATCATAAAGATAACTATATTTGGATGGACACCTTGTTGAAGTTTTTGATAAATTTCATACATCCACTTTGGCATATCTGATGGTGTTAATTTGTGTTGTGTTTGTTGAGCAAATAGACCCTGTTGAGTTGGTATTACAAATTTATTTTGATAAAAATCAATAATTTTTAGCATTGCAATCATTGAAGGATTTGAGTTAACTTGATCAATTTCAATATCGCTCTGGTGTATATGAGGTGATGTTGATACTGGTGTTGGTGTTGGCTGGTCACTATTTAAATCTTTTTCGTCTTCTAAGAAAGATTTTGAAATAAAATCTTGACTTAAACTACTGTCAACTAAATATTGGCTTGATAAATATCTAAGATCATTAGCAAACAATGATTGTGGTGAACTAAAGGATACTGTAAAATTGGTTTCTGATTCGAAATTATATTGTTGATCACAATCTACAATATTTTCCCAAAGATATTCGTTCTTATCTTTGTTCTCTTTAAAAAAGAATACATGGAGGAAGTTTTCTTTGGTTTGGGTTGCAATAATTACACTTGCCAAAGCACTAAAAGCAGCACCATGGTACATTGTACAAAGAGAACGAGTTACATAACGATCATCACTAGTTAATTTTTCTGATTTGGCAGAGTGAGCAGCTTTCATGATGGCAGCTGTTAGTTCGGTACCTTTACTATCTGGCTTATCATAAAAGTATGGATTAATCTTTTCCTTGATAATATTGGTTGATAATGATTGATATAATGCTTCAATTAAATGGAAACAACAAATTTTTTCGATAATAGATGACTTTCTTTCTTGTGAATCTGAAAGATATTTTGGTTGTAATGGCTGAATAATTGACATTAATGAATTTAGGTGATGGCTAAATATTTGTACCAATATTTCTTCTTTCATATGGCTTATTAAAGGTACACAAAATTTATCAATTAATGTAATTTTTAATTCGTCATTATGATTTAAAAACAATCTAAAAAAAAAAAAGTTAATTATAAATTATTTAAGATTTAATTTTTATAATTAAAAATAAAACACTTACTCGAAACAATGTGAAAATATTTCTTTTGCTTCACTATCATTAGTTGTTAAAATTGTTCTTTCAATTGATAAATTAATATAATGAACATGGCTATGATCAGTTTCTTTTAAAACATGTAAGAGAATATCGATGATAATTGGATTCTTTGTAATTTCTAAAGTTTCTAATAACCTTTCAATGCATGTAACATATTCATTATAAATTGGAGATTTAACTGTCAGATCTTTTGAGTGCAATGGAAAATCGTATACAATAATTTCATTTAATTTTTCTTTAATCTGATAATTTTAAATTGTTAGAATTTTTTAGGAAAAACTATTTTTTATAATAAATACTTACTAATGAAAAATTATGGTGTTTTGGGAAGGAAAGTAAATATGGTAACAAAACCAAAACTTTATTCTTGAAAGGTAATGGATTTGAACGGTTCAAATAATTTGTAATTATATTATATACGAAATCATAGCACTGTTTATTTTCAAAGAATTGTAGGGGATTGATTTTAATTAAATTCTTTATAATTTCGACAATATTTTCTTTTTCAACAATCTTTAAATTTGGATTTAATGTCCATTCTGAAATTTCTTTAAAGAAATTAACCTATAAATATTAAAAATAATATTAGGGTATGAAAAAAGAGACTATTTATATTTTACAGTATTATTATTATTTAATAAACTATAATATAATAACAAAAAATATTTTTAAATAAAAAAAATAAAAAAAATAAATAATACATACTATTGATTGTATATCTTTGGACATATTTGACTTTTCATTTGGTTGCTGTTTAAGTATACAAACATCATTTAGAACTTTATGAATGTGGTTTGTGTGAATGATTCTGTTTGCTAATAGTGGTAAAAATAATTCAAAATTACTTGAAATGTATGTATTAATTTCTGTGAATAATGACTTATAAAAGATATCGTTGATATCTTTAACATGAATGCTATCTTCACCGTCACCTTGATTATTTGCATCTACATCTTTACTTTTTTTTGTATTGCTTTCATTGATGATCATAGATAATAGTTTTTGGGGTTCAATACCAATTGTAAAAACTAATTGAATTAATTCTTTTGAAATTAGTAATTTTGAAGGTGATAAGTTTTCGCAATGATTAAATAAATAATTTATAATGAAAGTTGAGAATTCTGTGGATGATTCTGGTAATGTGTTGTTATTATTACTACTACTATTATTAATGATTGTTTTATTATTTTCTAATAAAATTGAATCTAAAAATTTAAATTTATATAAAATTTGATAGGAGTGAATTAGCTGTATTAATTTATCAGTACCTTCTAAATTAATTAATTCATTAATATTTAATAAATTGAATGATTTCTTATCGAGTATTATTTCATAAAGTGATAACTTGAAGAAATCTTGATATTTGGGTCTAACTGCTATAAATAGTGAAAATATGTGATCTATGATTTCAATAAGTGGTGGGAATTTGAATGATCTTGACATAAGGTTACGAATCTCTTCTCTTGCTGAACTTTGAAGTTCTAATACCTTTTCATCAATATAATTTGTAAATCCAATAGATTGTGGATCCATTAATGATTTTGTAAGTAATTGGATGAATGGTTGACCACTAATTTCAATGACCTCTTGGAAATTGTACTTTTCTAATAACAAAATTACTAAACCAAAGAGATTTGTTATAACTTGGCACTTCATACGATTAAATAGATCAATTTCTTTTGGGGTCATAGATGATAGCATTTGTTCATATGACTTATTATCATTAACCAAGGCATAATGCTTAACAAAAACATTAAATATTGTTGATAAAAGTGTTGATCCATTACCACCGGTATTAACCAATGCCGATGGTTCAATAAAACCTTCACTAAAGAACCAAAGATATATATTTAATGATGTGGTTAATGATTTGAACCAAAATTCTATTTCTTTGTGATTACCAACTTGAATTTTTGGGGCTACTTTGTGGATGGATGTTCGTGGCTCTGCTACAGATATAATAAACGATAGTCCATTTGTGTTAACATGATCCTTGACCCATTGTAATGGTGTTTTTTTTGATGGTAATAAAACAACCAATTGGCTAAACATTAACATTGATTCATAACGGACCACTGACTCGGCTCTTGAACAACCTACTTGGAATAACCATTGGACAAAGTGAGAAAGATCTTTGTGCTCTCTTCTAGATTGCTGGGTTTTATTTAACATTGTAGCTTTTCTTACAATAACTTTAGTCAATGCTACCAAAACAGTGGAGTACTTTGATGAAATTTCGACAATTGAATCATCTGATGAATTATCATCACCAATTCTTAAACTGAAAAAGATATTGTGTAGAATTTCAAAGATAAATTGATCTACCAATGAATCCTCTTCACGGAAAACTCTATAAAGCTCATTAAATGAAATGGCAGCTCCTAAACGTTTGAATGGATCTGGATGGTGGGCTAAAGAATAAACTCTTTTAAGAATCGATTTAAAATTGAATGCATTCTTTTCTTGTTGCACAACGGATGTATTTTTAAGTGACCATTTGGCAAATTCGCATAAGCATTTTCCTGCAAAATCTCTTCGAGCTCCGTCATATGGATTACCTACAGCATCTACAATTGAGTTTAAAAGGTTCATAGTATCATCATTTTCTTGCTTCTTATTACGAGTGAACCAATGAATAATTTGAAATACAAGTGGTTGGAAAAGCTGTTTAGTTACTTGCTCTACATCCGTTGATAAACAAAGTAATGATGGGAAAATCTTTCTGTAGAGACGTGAAAACGATATAGATTGGTTTGCTGAAGTACCAATCATATAGAGCAATACTGAATGTAAGAGTTCACAAGCAGCAACCTTAATTTGACGATTTGGTGAATTTTCTGCTAAACTAACGACACTTGGTAAAATTGTATCTAAATGAATTTCAATAGCAGAGGCAGTTTGATCGGTAAATGGAATCTTGATTAATACCTTTTGCTCAGTGTCCCAAGCAACACCAGATTCAGTTCCCGGTGCTAATAAACTTACCTCACCCAAGAAATGAATATTATCACCGCCCAATTTACCCAATAATCTAATAATTCTATTTTGAAGATCTTCAATTGATGTTTTAAATTGTAATTGCTTTGGGTCAATGTTAGAGTAGCTCTTATACTTCATTTTACGATGACGGCTCCAAGTTTCCTTCATTAAATGTAAATCTATTTGTTGAGTATTTGATGAATTTACACTATCTAGTCCATTAGTTGAAATCTTTAAATAGTCATTTAAACTTGGTAATAATTTATCTAAATGGCTATGAACTTCCTTTGGTACAACTGTAATCCAATACTCTATGGCATTTAATGCAATATGGGCCAAAGGTAAATAACTTTTGCCGTACTGAAATGCTAAATTTGCTATAGGGACTAACAATGGAATACTAATTAATTCCTTGGGTAATGATAACAACAACTCTATGCATGAACTTAGTAACTCATCTTTATAGTGGCTAATAAAATTACTAACTTCTTTAATATATTTTTTGAATAAAATAAAGCAATTCTTTTTATCTTCTTCTGGATTATTATTATTACTATTATTATTTTCTATTTCCATTAAATCATTTTCTAACTCTTTATTCTCTTTATTTGATAATATAAACTGATGTATAATTTCATGGTTGATAGTATTGAAGTACTTTTGAGATTTGCAAATTTTCATTACAATTTGAATTAGTTTATAAAAACCACTGATTAATGGATACTTTTTACTATAGTTAATCATCTCTTTACCAAATATATAAATCCATTGTACAAATAATTCTGTGTGATTTTTTGAAATAAATAGTTTAAAGAATTCTACCAAACCTAAAAATAAATCAATGTCCTTTGATGTGTTTGGCTTTAGTTGATTAACTTCTGATTCATATTCGATAATTGATATATCTTTTTCCTCTTCTTCATCTTTTGATTTTTGGTCACTATCACTGGCACTAGTATCTTTTGAGGAATATTGTAAATCTAATTTACCAATAACAACTAAAATACTTGATATTATTTCATTATAAACTAATTTTGTTATTGATTGTGCAATTTCCTCTTTAGTGACAACTGTAATTATATTGTGTTTGTCGTTATTGATAGCAGAACTATTATTACTATTATTTTGTTGTTGATTAAATTTAGATGATGATGCCAAATCTTTATCAATTGATTCAGTAGTTGGATTTAACAATGGATACCAAAGATCTTTGTAAACTTCATAGAATGGAGTATGTGAAGTGGTAATTAAAGCTTTGATTGATGGATTTGGTTTCGAAAATGTAATTAATAATCCCTTCTTTACAAATCTTGATAGAATGATCTTTAAATATTCCCCATGATAAAACAATGAACTTATTAATCTATTTACGGCTTTAAAGTATCTATCTCTTGACTTTACAAATAAATGTGGGAATATTATGAAATAAGTTTCTAAAATTTGTTCAATGTGATCCAAGTACCAAAACTCTAACTCACTTAATTCGTATAATATTGATGCAAAAGCATTTATAAAACTTGATAAATGTAATGTTATTTCGTCAATATTTTCAATTTTGCTAAGAAATAGATTTAAAAAAAACTATTAATACCATAGAGAAATAAAATAATAACAGTAAAGGAAACAACTTACACAACCATTAACTTTTCGGAAAATTTAAACAATGAACTTAACAATGACTTTAACTCCCATTCTCCCATAAACGATTTAACAGGTGAAGCAAATCTACCACAGCCTCTAATTGCAATTGATAACTCGAATCTTGAACTGTCATTATTTTCAAAGATTGAATAAAATTTACGAATAAAAAATTTAAAAGTTTGTTGATCAGCTTCAAAGTTTCTATTACCACTTGTTAACTCTTTTGATATTTGTTGAAAGAAAGAGTCTACTGCAGCAAAAGCTATATCTCTATTAAGCTTATTTCCATGATTACACCAGTGTTCAATACGTTGATAAAACTTTTCAGAGTGTTCGGCTAAATATTGGGCCAATAATGGAGAGTGTCTAGCAACGATCTTCATTGCAGCACGAGGAATTTCAAATCTTTGAGTTGATGATTGTGGGTCCATACAAATGTATATATACTGATAAAGCAATTGAATATTTTTTGGATTACTAACAAAATCACCACTAAAATGAACCAACAACGAGTTAATACCCTTTAAGCAACTTTGAATTAATGTTGATTCAGGTGATTTAGACTTTAACTGGCCACCCAATGTTTCCATGAATATAGAAGAGAGCTGCTGATTTAAATCAAACATATGATTTGAAAAATATTCAGTGAATAAACCAAGAACCACTATAATCTCACCTCTAACGGTTTGTGTTAATTTACCACATGTAAATTGTAATAAAAACAATTGACTCATATCCAGTACCCCAAACGACTCGGCGACAATTGAACCCTCTTTGAGTATTTTTGACATTAAGTGTAAAATTTTTTTAATTGGGCCAAAAGCAGCGGCTTGAACAGAATTTGATTGATCTTTTCTAAATATTGATATACAGGTATTCTTAATGGCAATAGCATAATCATCGGTTCTTCCTCCCAGTATTTCTATAAACTCAGTTATTAAATTTAATATGGCAACTTTAATTTTTACAATTTCTTTAGTATTTAGTGTCGATGTTTTTTCTAAATACTTTAGTAAACTGTGATCACCAGTAAATAAAAGAGATGCAACCAAACCAATTTCTTCATCTAGTACTAGCTCCTTAAGTAAAATTACTGATAATTCGTTTATTAGTAATAAGTCATTTTCGAATTTAAAACTATTGTTATTATTATTTATAATTAAATTATTATTAGTTGTATCTATTGATTGTGATTGATTATCTGTTATTGTTTGAAAAAATTTATTTAAATAATTTTCAATCCTTTGATAAATATTATTATTTATTGGGCTATTGTTATTACTATTGTTATTATTACTATTCATTTCATAGCACAACAATAAAAATATAATTTTAAAATTGATTGAATGGTTTTTAAAAAAAATTGTTTTAATTTAAAAAAAAATTTTGATTTTGGATTTTTTTTTTTTTATTTTAAAAAATAATTTTATTTTTATAAAAACACAACTATAATTGTTTAAAAAAATTAAATTAGAACGATTTAATTAAATGTGTATTTATATTAATATAAACAATTAAAAAAAAATGAAAAAAAAAAATAAAATTAAATATAAAAAGGTTTTATAAAAAGTAAAAAAAAAAAATATAAAGAAAAAAAAAAGATATTTTTTTGAATTCTCTTGCTAATTAAAGAAAATGAATAACCGAAATGTTTTTAATAATAACTGTGTATTAAATTAGAAATATAAAAATGAATAAAAATTTTTAAATTTTTGATTTGGTTATATTCTTATAATATATAAAGATTTTTTATTTATTATTGTTTTTACTTAAAAAATTAAATTATCGTGATTAAATGTAAATTTTTTAAAGTTCCCTATGATTGGTAAAAAAATAAAATTAAAATTAGTAAACTATAAAATGACATTACGATGATTTATATTGATAATAAATATAAAATACATACCAAGATGGCTTGTCTGGGAAATATTTTTCGAAAAACTTTTCTAATTCTTCAATAACTTTAACGTTTGGATTTTCTGGGGATAAACCATCATTGAGACAAACAGTCTTTGGTTTCTTTGCTAAGATCTTGGCAAATTCTTTTTTCATTTTTTCGTGGTCGTCCATAATGAGAGCGTAGTAATTAATTGGTGAAGGTTCATAAGTGGCATAGAAACGAGAGACGTATGCTAAATAAAGGAAAGGAATTTGAAGGTCATGAGCAGTACGGAATGGATTGGCTGAAGTCTTTTTAAATTCACCTTCCAAGTCGTTGTACATTCTTTCGAAAACTTCACGAGTAAAGAATTGATGGCCATGTGATGCGTAATGACGATTCTTGTTATCAACTTCCCAAAGATTATTTAAAAGGTCATTGGTGTAGGCAATACATGCATGCCAAATATTAGCTTGTTTTTCTTTTGATTGAGGAGCAGTCCATCCACTTTTGTAAATAGCTTGACCATATGTTGGATCGTAGAAATCTTTCATTGCTACTGGTGAACCAAAGAAAATATCATCATTAAAATAAATAAAACAATCTGAAACTTCTTTTGGTAATGAATAAAAATTTGATTCAATTGAATTTGAATTGAAAGTTGGTAAATCATCTCTGTAATTTGGGAAAATTATTAATAAATAATAATAATAAAATAAATATAACCAATAATGTATTGGCAAACTATTTATATTTTAAAGTTGGTACATACTGATTGGTATAATAATCTTTGTGGAAAATAAAATTAATTTCGTCATTAGTTTCATCAAACCATGTTGGGTATTGACTGGCACTTACTACCCAAATGTTTTTAATCCAAGGAGCGTATTTTCTAACACTTCTTAATGAATACTTTAAACCCATAAGATCTCTGTATCTATTGTTACCTGGTTGTGAATGTCTTTTAGAACTATTTTAAAAAAAATTAAATTTATTAGTAATGATATAGATTTTATTTTTCGATATATAATAATAAAATATTTCATACCCAGATCTCATGGTTCTTGAATCAATATGTTTTGGATCACTACCATTTACCCAAGTGTAAACTATATCAATATATTCGCATTGAAGGACCTTTTTTGTTGGTTTATTTGGTGGATAAGTATCAACATTGGTTGGTGATTTAATTTCGACTTGTTGGTGGCTTGACATATAAATGGCAATACCCGATATCCATATTAAGCCCAAAACTACAAAAATAAAATGAATACGTTTCATTTTTATATTTATATTATATTTCTTTGTTTAAACTATATAGTGGTTATATATATTTTAAATTATACATTAAAATTATTGCTATTATTATTAATATTACTATTTAGATATATTGTTTATGTATATATGTACAATATGTATAATATATTGAATGTGTTATTAATATAAATAATACTATGATTAACACAACAAAAAACAATAAAACCAAAAATTAAAAAATAGCTAATTAATTTAAATTAGTATTAATATAAAGAATAGAAAATATAAAAAAAAAAAAAAAAAAAAAAATTTAAAAAAAATTTAAAAAAAAAAAAAATTATTTTAAAATTATTTAAAAAATTTTATTTTAATCGCCATGTGGTCACTAACGAAAAAACTGATAATATTATTTTTGGAATTATATTTTGAATTTTTCTTTTATTTAAACAAACAATTATTTTAAAAAATAAATCCTACCTTTTTAAATACTTTTTTTTTTATAGTTATTATAAAAAAAAAAATGAATAATTAAATATTTAACAAAATTAATTCATCAGAAAAAAAAAAAAAAATTTAAAAAAAAATAAAATTAAAAAAAAAGATAAAATACAAAAAAATAAATAAATGGAAATTTTTTTTATATATTAAAAATGGGAATGAATGTGTGTATGTATTCAAAACACACATTAACATTAATATAACACACATTCGCACACTCGAAAATACACACTAAATTTTTATATTTATAATTATCAATATTAATAAAAATATATATCATATTTTTTTAAAAATAGTTTTTATTGTTTACTATTTTCATCTTTGATTGTACTAAAAATGAAAACTCGAGATAATTTAATATTGATTTCTAATTTAATATCATATTTAAAATAATCATCTTTTTTTGAGGAATTTTCATTTGGAATTCATTTTTTTTACCAAAAAAAACTTTTTGCATATCAAACAATAAATATTTTTTTTATTTTTAATTTTTTTTCAAAAATATATTAAAATTTTTTTATATAAAAGCAAAAAAAAAATTAATTTTTAATTATTATAAATATAAACACTTATAAATAGGGTAAATAGTATATAATAGTAATCAAAAAATATATATGTATTATACTAAATTGTTTTCCATTTTATTTTTAAATTAATATAAAATTATAGAGTGATCATCATAATACAATGGACAGCAAAATGAAAATTTGTTTATTTTCAAGTAAACCATACTGGGTTAAATGGTTTGGTGAAGTTAATAATTATTACCAAATCGAATTTTTTACTCAATCATTAAATATTAATACTGTATGATCTAAATTTTAATTAAAAAAAAAAAAAGCAAAAATTAATTGTTTTATTACTTTTTAAAATAGGTTAAAGAAACAAAAGGAGCTCAAGCCGTTTGTTGTTTTGTTAATGATGACTTAAATAAAGACGTTATAGAGAAATTATCCGAGAATGGTGTTAAAGGTAATTATTAGATTCATAAAAAATAAAACAAAAAAAAAAAAAAAAAATTAATCAAAATTTTTTTTTTTAAAAGTTATTTTAATGAGATGTGCTGGATTTAATAAAGTCGATTTAGAAGCCGCAAATAAGTGTGGTATTTCAGTATTAAGAGTACCAACCTATTCACCAAATGCAGTTTCAGAATATGCATTATCATTAATGTTGACATTAAACAGAAAGACTCATAAAGCATATCATCGTGTTAAAGAAGGTAATTTCGAAATTAATGGATTAGAAGGCTTCAATATGAGCAATAGAGTATTTGGTATTATAGGTACTGGTAATATTGGTTATCAATTAATTCGTGTTTTACGTTTAGGCTTTAATGCAAAAGTATTAGCATACGATATCTTTGAAAACAAAGACTGTATTGATATTGGTGTCGAATACGTCAAGACTCTCGATGAAATTTGGGCACAATCAGATATCATCAGTCTCCACACTCCATTAACACCAAAAACAAAATATATGGTTTGCGAAGAAACCCTCTCAAAAATGAAAGATGGTGTTATGATTATTAATGTCTCTAGAGGTGCTCTTGTTAATACTAAAGATGCTATCAATGGATTAAAAACTGGTAAAATTGGCTATCTCGGTATGGATGTCTATGAACACGAAGAGGACTATTTCTTCCAAGATCACTCTGATCAAATCATTAAAGATGATGATCTTCAACTCTTAGTATCTTTCCCAAATGTTATCATTTCATCTCATCAAGCTTGGTACACCAAAGAAGCCATCTCTTCAATTTGCAAAACAACTGTCCAAAATCTTTTTGATTACGAAAAAGGTGAAGTTAAAAAATCCAATTTGGTTAATAATCCACAATAAAAATAAAAATATAAAATAAATCTTTATATATAAAATATTTTAAAATAGAGCATTGTATAATTTATTTTTTTATTTTATATTAGCTGCTTATTTGATTAATTTTATTGATTATTTTTTTCGTACCATTTTCCTGATGTCATTTTACTTTGGATAAATTGACTTTTTTCGGTTAATAAAGATACCATTTGTTGAGATAGTGAGTATTCTTTGGCATATTTTTCTTTAATTTCGTTTGGTAAAAAATTATTATCATCAAATAGTTTAACAATCGATTTAAAAACTTCTAATGATTTATCTAAATGTTCGTTTACTAGTTTGTTTACACCTTTAACCTTTTTGTGACACATTGCCAACCCAAGTTTTGAATTAATATATACATCAAAATCGTCAATAATTGATTCTTTTCTTTCTTGTTCATTTTGTGATTGTTGATTATAACTGCTTATATATAAATTAAAAAATTGAATTGCTTTAAATAAACTATATTATCACAGGTAGAAAATTAGTATTCGCAAAATTACACATGATATAAATTATTATTATATATTTACCAATCATTATAGTTTTGAATTTCACGTAAATTTGCACATGCAAATTGGTATATTCTTGAAGTTTCGTTGTAAATTTCAGCAAGTTTATAAAATATTTTTCTTAATTGTGCTAAAAAGTATGTTGGATTTAGTTCTTTAATTAAAGGTTCGATTAAATCAACTCTTTTCTTATTAATTGCAATCTTTCTATTTGCTAAGGTTTCAAAAATATTTAAATAGTCAAACAAATCGATTAAATCCTAAATATAAGGTATTTGTAAGTATAAGTGTTTTTATTAATAAATTATATATAATACTTACAAATAAAATTTGTAAATGTTGGGTTACAAAACCATCGAGTTGATAAAATTTTTTAGCTCTATTATAGAAATGTTGTGATTTTAAAAAGATATCTCTGGCACTTGGTTGGTCTTTTACTACTACTAAATCAACATTTGAACTGGGGAATAATGATGAAGCAATCGAGTTGTATTGTTCTACGGTAATTGAGTCTTTGAATAATGGGTTGTCTATGTTTAATGAACGCTTGTTAAATGTTATAGAGTCAATTAATATTTCTTTTTGTTTTTGGTTCTCTTCGAATTGTTTTCTTTCGTTTTCTTTTTCTATAATAATGCTTTTTGGGTCTTGAACAAAGTCGATATTTTCATCTTCATTACCCTCTTTGTGGGCATGATTTAAATATTCAATATCTCTAAATACGTGAAGAAACTCTAAAAAGAACTTGCCAATAAATAGATTGATTGATGCTTGAAGTTCCTCTTTTTGTTCATTTTCTGTAAATTCTGCTTCGTCTATCTTTTTAAAAATAAATGTTGATGCTAAAAAACATTGTCTACTATAATCAAAGTTTTTGATCTTTAAATAGTAATCTCCCAATAGTAGTGAGTTTTTACACCATTCAATCTTGTCAAATTTTTCTTTTTTTAATTGTTTATTTAATGTTAATTCGATATATTTTGATGACTATAAAATAAATATGTTTTGTTAGTAAAATAATTTTTTTTTTTTTTTTTTTTTATAATTACCTCTTCAGATTCTCCTGTTAAGGTATAAAGTTGTGCAAAATAAAAGAAGTTTTGTAACTGTAATGAATTTAATTTTTCAATGGTTTCTTTATCTTTTGAGGCTTCGTCTTGTAATTCTTGATTTAATAATGTTTCACATTCTTTTAATCTTTCCTCACCTTGTTTAAACTCATTGTTGTTAATTGAAATAATTGAAAGGGTTTGGTTTATTGATATATATTCGATTGGATATTTTTCCTTAACTTTTTCTAATGATTTTAATGTTTCATTGAATATTGTAATTGCAAGTGTAATTTCATCCGTTTGAAAGTATAATTCTCCTAATTTCGAGTCTATGGTTATTAAATAGTCATTGAAAGTTTCATTGTTTTCCTTGATAATATTGCTTTTTAATTCTTTCTAAAAAAAAAAAAAAAAAAAAAAAAAAAATTTGGATTAGTAAAAAAAAAAAATTTTTTATTAAAATTTAAGATAATATACCAATAATTCAATTGCTTCGAATTTGGATTTATATGGGGTTCTATCTGGATCAATATTTTCAGATAGTTGGTCTGATTGTTTAATGATTTCCTTGATTTTGTCGATATTCATTGGGTTGTGGTAATATTGAAATTAAAAATGAAAAATTAAAAATTAAAAAAAAAAAAAAAAAAATAAAAATGACAAAAATAAAAAAAAAAATAAAAATTTCAAAATAAAAATGACAAAAAAAAAAAAAAAAAAAAAAAGTAATATTATATTTTTATTGGTTTCCGAAATATGACCAATATAACAATTGATAATTATCAAATAAAAAGAGATAAAGTTAAATTAAATATAAATAAAAATGTTGGAGGATTAAATAACATTGTGTCATTTATAGTGGATAGAATTTACGATTTTTTTAATATCGATAATAATAACTTCAATGATATCATTGAAAATTGTATAGATAATAGTATCGACCAATATTACCCCAACACATTATTAATAAATGGTAGATCAGGAATTGGCAAATCCATTCTAATTCACTCCATACTAAATAACCTATCAACAACATTAAAATATAAGATTGTAAACTCTTCAAATCTTTTTCAAAGAGATGACGGCGATACAGAGAAATTAATTGATAGCTTATTTACAACCTCATCAACACAGTCTCCATTTGTATTAGTATTTGAAGAGGTAGATTCAATTTCACAAATTAGAAATGATACTTTAGGTTGTATGTATAATAAAATTAAATAAAATTATTAAATTTAATAATTAAAATACTAATTAAAATTATAATAAATAAAAGATATTGAACAAAGAGTTGTTTCAAATTTTTTAACATTATTAGAAAGAAATAGTAGAAAAAGATCAGTATTTGTTATTGGTATTACATCAAGAATAGAATCTATTGATACCTCATTTTTTTCAATTGGTAAATTTGATACAGTAATAAATATACCAATACCATCACCTAAAGATAGAGAAACAATTATTTATTTATTATTTAAAAGTAATTTTTATAAAAAATATATTTATTTTATTTATTAGTTATTAATATTTTTTTTTTTTTAATACAGAATTCCCAAATTTTAAAAAACATAAAAATCATTACAAAAAAATGGCAGAGTATATTGGTAATTGTACACACGGTTTTGTTGGTTCAGATATAAATAGTTTATGTAAAGAAGCAATATTATATGCTATCAAAAGACAAAGGGAAAATATAGATGGTACAGATAATAATAGTAAAGATACAGAAAATAGCAATACAGATAATATAGATTTTATAATTAAAGAAGAGGATTTTAATAAATCATTTGAAATTATAAAGCCATCAATTTTAAATCAATATAAATTACCAGCAACAATCGAAAAGATAAAGTTTAGTGATATTGGGGGTTTAGACGATATTGTAGAAAAAATCAAATCATCGATTTTAACACCAATTTTAAATAGACATATATTGGATAAGTTAGGAATTAAACCACCTTCTGGTATTTTATTATATGGTCCCCCAGGAAATGGTAAAAGTTTAATTGCACGTGCTATCGCATCAGCTTCCCCAAACATCAATTTCATTTCAGTTCAATCTACTGATATCATCGATCCAGTTGTTGGTGCTAGTGAAAAGAATATTTCAAAACTATTTAAAACTCTTAGAGAGAGCTCCCCATGTATATTATTTCTCGACCAAATCGAAGTATTAGCAAAACTAAGAGGCTATTCAGACTCATCAGATCAATCATCAGATCGTTTGCTATCATGTCTACTAACAGAAATTGATGGAATTTATTCAAGTGGAGGTGGTGGCGAACAACTTCAGCAACAACAATGCATTATCTTGGGTGCAACTACAAGAATTGATTTATTGGATCCTTCAGTACTAAGACCTGGTAGATTTGATTATCATATACATATACCAAATCCAGACTGTAAAGGAAGAAAGGATATACTTTATAAAATAACAAGAGAAATGCCTTTGGACGAATCTATTGATTTCGATAAACTATCAAATATTACTATTGGATTCAATGGTGCAGATTTAAACAATTTATGTAAAGAAACAGCTTTATATGCATTAAGGAATAATATAAACTCAAACAAAATAATAATGACCGATTTTTTAGAAACTTTAAAATTAATTAAACCCTCTACGCAAACTTTATTATTATAAATAAATAAAAATAGAAAACTAGGTATTGGATTTAATAAACTATATTACTATACTAAAAATTATAGTTATTTTTAATTAGAAATATATATGTTTTATTTATTATTTTTTTTTGTTATTAAAATACCCCCACTTATAAAATTGTATACTTTTTCTATGTTGAAAGAACAAGCATCAAATATTTTTTTATATTGCTCCAATGATCTTTCTTGACCATTAAAATAGTGAAACATTTTAAGGTCAAACCATAATATATCTAAATCATAATGATTTGAATCTAGCAAATAGTCGAAAATGTAAATTCTACCCCCAGGCTCCATTGATTTTGAAATACAGTTTAAAATTTTAATACATTCTTCGTCAGACCAATCATGGAATATTCTTTATTAATATTATAAAAACAATTAGTATATTTATTTTTATTAATAATATTATTATAAATAACTACTGTTTTAATATATATGTATCTGCAGTTGGTACACTTTCAAAAAAAGAACCTGAAACATTTTTTATTTTTGGGTTTTTCTTTGGAACCGATAATATGATTTTTTTCTAAGTCAAAATTAATTCCTACTGTATTTTCATATTTTTCAATAATTTTTTCTAATAAACTTTTAAATATAAGATATTAATATTATTTTATGAATAAAAAAAAAAATTTATTAATACTTACTCTCCATGCGATCCACCTAAATCAACAATTAATTTAGAATCTGAAAAATCAACATTTTCTATAACATCATATATTGCGGCATCTGTAATGCAGGACATTGAATCTTTGAATTTTTTATAATTTGTGTTTCCATTGAATAGTTCCCATGTATCTTTGACACCAAATTCCTGAGGAATTGCAGTTTGACCATTTAAAAATGATTCAGGAACTGATCTGAAAATATCATAAAATAAATCACTTGAAAACATTTCAATGATTTGATAATATTTGCTTTCTTTTGTAAATAGAAAAGTATATTTGCTTTTTGAGAAAAAATCTGTTTTTTCTTCTGAAACTATATTAAAGTATGAGAAATATCTAAGAATTTTATGTAGACCAATTTCTGAAACATTTGTAATTTTTGACAATTCTTGATAGGAAATTGGAGTTTCCTTCTTTTCTAAGACATCACAAACACCACTTTTTAATAAAGCATTAATTAATCTTGTATGCATATTACTATTAAAATGTTTATATATAAAATACAAACTATCTTTTGGATAGTTTTTATTTAATTGTTCCATTGTTTATTTTTTTCTTTTTTTCTGTAACCCCTCGACAAATTAAAAAATAGATAAAAAAAAAAAATTTATTAAAAAAAAGGGGTATAAATTTAAAAAATTAAAAATTAAAAAATTATTTTTAAATTTTAATAATAATTTATAATTAAAATATAAAAAAATAAATATTATAATATGAATATTTATTAATGCAAAGGTGTTATCGAAACGGAATTATCTTGGATTAAACATTCCATCTTTGAGATCTAAAGATAAAATTTTAAAAATTATGGTATATTTATAGAATTTAAAAAATGGAAATATCTTTAATAAAAAAAAAAATAATCTTTATCTCTTTATTTTCTTAAAAGCTGTGAGAATTTTTATTACTAATTCTATTTTTTTTATTTTTTATTTATTTTTTAGAGGCAACCAAACCAATTCTAAAAATGAAATCAATTTTAAAACCGCATTGGTCAAGTAATTTTCTAAATTGACTTTCTGTTCTTTCTTGTCCATGAAAAAAATGATACATTTTCATATCAAAATATAATGAGTCGTGTTGATAGTTATTGTTATCAATGACATAGTCGAAAATGTACAATTTTCCACCTGGTTTCATCGAGTTTGAAATGGTATTGATAATTTTTACTGAGTCTTCATCTGACCAATCATGAATAATTCTTTAAATTTAAATTAATACTTTTGGTTATATACGAAAAAATATATAATAAAAATAAAATACATACTGTCTTAAAATATAAGAATCTCCAGCTGGTACTGATTCAAAGAACGAGCCAGAAACATGTTCTAATCTAGGATCAGTTGGTTTTTTATTAGTAACTATTACTTTTTCTAAATCAAAGTTAATTCCTTTTTCGATTGATGGGTATTTTTCTAAAATTGAGCTAATTAATCTAAAAATCTGATTAGTAATGTATTAATTTATTTTAATATTGTAATATTTTAAATGTAAAACTTACTGACCATGAGAACCGCCAACATCGACAATAACTTTTGATTGTGAGAAATCAACCTTATTTATTATCTCTTCACAAATTGCTTCAGTTGCAGAGTTCATTGCATTTTTGAAATAAACTTTATTTGATTCGGAATCAAGTAGGTCCCATGTGTGGGCAACATTCATAGAATTTGGAACTCCCGATGAATTACCAAAAAATGAATCTGGAGTTGATTTAAATAAATCATAATACAAATCACTTGAAAACATATTTGCTACACCAAATAACTTGTGACCCTTTGTAAAGAATTCTGAATAGTTGCTTTTTGAAAAGGTAGTGATACCATCTACTTCGTTTTCTGTAAATAGTTTGTGGAAAGTGAAATAACGTAAAATCTTGAACATACCCTCCTCTGGAATATTGACGATACTGGCCAACTCTTGATGGGTTCTTGGAACCCCGTCATCTAAAATATCACAAATGCCCAAACGAAGAAGAGTATTGATTAATTTAAAATGTAATGCACCACTTACATGCTTTATAATAAATTCATAACCATCTTGTAAAGAAATATTATTTTGATTTTGAAACATTTTATATTAAAAATTTTTATTATTTTTATTAATAATATTTATATTAAAACTATTATTATTACTATTAGTTTATATAATATTATAATAGAAATAAAAAAAAATATTCTATTTATACCATTTTAAAAATATATATATAAAAAGATTGATGGGTGAAAAGTTAACTGTATTTTATATAATGGTAGAATGTTTGAGAATAAATCCAGAAGTACTTTTGAAATTAGACGTTTTTAAATTAAAATAAATCGATTTAAATTCGGGAATATTGTAATTAAAGAAAAAATTTGTATTATTAACCCCTTTTTTATTTTTTTTCTATTTTTAAAAAAAAAAAAAATTAAAAAAAATAAATAAAAAAATAAATAAAAAAATATTTTTAATTAATTTAAAATAAATTTAAATTTATATAAAAAAGGAAAATATAATTTTTATTATTAAGATTTAAATAAATGAAAAAAATAAATAAAGAAAATAGATTTATAAGATGTGTTTTAATATTTAAATAATTTTTGTTTTTTCTTTTTTTTAAATTGATTTTATAATTTTTATAATATTATAAAAAAAAAAAAAGAAACTTTATAAATATAAATATAATTATAACTATAAATAGATATACAAAAATGAATAGATATATGGTTTGTCTAGATGGATCAGATTTATCTGATAGAGCATTTAGTTGGGTTAAGGAATTGGCTGAATGCGACGAATCAAAAAAAACTGAAATTTTTTTATTTCATGTAGAAGAGAAAAAATCTGACCATGTAAATATAAGTTTACTTTTATTATTATTATTATTATATATTAATTTTTATTTTAAATAAAATTAGAAATTTAAAAGTTTAGATGAATATAGTGACATGTTAAATACAAAAAGTGTAAGCATTTATATAAATTTTTATTTTTTTAATTTTTAAAATACTAATTAATTAACAAAATAGATTAAAAACCATAAGCTTTTAATAAAAGGAAAAGAATCAATTAAAGATGCTATTATTAAAGAAACTGAAAATAATAAAATAGATCTTGTGGTACTTGGTCATGAAGATAAAAATAAACTTCAAAGAATAATGGATGGGAGAGGTTCAGTCTGTGAATACCTCTTAAAAAATATGGATACTCCACTTTTAATTTTTAAATAAAAATATAATAAATAAATAAATAAATATATAAAGAAATCCTTTTTTTATATTTTTTTAAAAATACAATTATAATTTTTATTTTTTATTTATATTAGTAACTATTATTAACTATTATTATCAATAATTAATTATAATTTGAAATAAAGTAAAAATGCAAAAATAAGGGAACTTGATAATAGAGCTGCATTAAAATGTAAAAATGCTGATGCTGCTGTAATTTGGTGTTCAACATTTTGATAATTAATTTCGTAGATAGTGTTTTTACAAATATTATCTTTAAAAGCTTCAATTTCTACATGTTTACAATGTTTGGTGAAACATGACGATTTTGAATGAAGATTCTCTACCATTTGACAATTATTTTTCTTCATACAGGTAATTTTATCTAAATAGATTTGAGATGGACTATTTGGGAACTTTTTACATAAACCACTTGAACATTCACAATAAGCTCCAATCTCGCAAGAGGTATCAGTTGATAATGAACAGTTTGAAACTTTGTCGTCAGATGATGAAATTAATTGACCTTGTGAGCAAACACCGTCTACACATTTTGAAAAGAGTTTACAATTGAAATCTCCTGAACATTTTTCACCGTCAGCAACACTTGAAATTAATGTACATTTATTGGTAAACTTTGAACAAAATGATACACGGCCGCATTGATAATCTGCTGTACATTCACCACCAATCGAAACCTCTGGTATGCATTTTCCCTCTAAATCACAGGTTTCTGAACCTTTACAATCGAGATATGATAAACATTCTGTATTATTACTTTTACAGAATCCACCTTCACATTTATTGCCTGAAGAACAGTCATTTTCTTTTGAACAACCCTCACCAACACTAAAATAAATAAAAAACTATTAATATATATTTTTAAAAATATAAATTAATTATAAAATAGAAATAATAATTTACCCAGCAAAACGAATATCTTCGCATTTATAAGATCCACCCAAGTCACACAACAAACCTATATCACATACAGTACTATCGACACATCCATCTAATGATGGCTTTTGGCAAACGAATCTCTGTAAAGTTGCATCATCTTTGTCAGTACCACATATTAAATCATCTTTGCAATCTCCAATACCAAAAATATCTCCATTACAAGTTTGGCCTTCTTCTTTACATGTATAGCATCCTGTACTCTCTAATTCATTACTTGATGTTCTTGCAACTCTTGAGTAACACTTTTGAAAATTAAAATTAAAAAATAAAAACAATAATAATGCAACCAAAAATTTCATTTTTTTTTTTTCTTATTTTTATTTGTTATTATTATTTGTTGCTTTTTGTTATTTATTATTTATTATAAATGAATTAATATTTTTCATTTTATATTTCATTTTATTATATAAAATTTTTTAATTTTAAATTTTTTAATAAAACTAAATTTAACACACCCCAAATCGAAAGGGGTGTGTTAAAAAATTTTATATATCTATAAAACAAATATTAAAATAGAAATCTAATTTCATTTTTATTTATATAATTTTCTTAAAGTTAATTTATAAAATATTTTAGAAAAAAAAAAAAGAAATAAAGAAGACCCTTTGGAAGAATTACTTTTAACAACCAATTTATACCTTTTTTTTAAAAAAAAAAAAAAAAAAATTTTAAAAAATAAAAATAATTTTTTTTTTTTTTTTTTTTTTTTTATTAAATTAATTAAAATTAATATTCATAATCCACATCTTTTTTTTTTTCATTTCATATATATTATAAAATGGATAAAATTAAACATAAAATTTTAGTTTTATCAGGAAAAGGAGGTGTTGGAAAATCTACAGTATCATCACAATTAGCATTATATTTAGCACACACTGGAAATAAAGTTGGTTTATTGGATGTCGATCTTTGTGGGCCAAGTATTCCAAAAATGATAGGTGTCGAAAATAAAGAAGTACATAAATCATCTAAAGGGTAACTATAGTGTTATATATACCTATTGTTAAATATTGAAACAGTACTTACTTTTATTTATATATATAATTTAAAATAGTTGGGTACCAGTATACACTGATGAAACTCAAAGTTTAGGTGTAATTTCAATTCAATTTTTATTAGGGGATAAAGATACACCAGTAATTTGGAGAGGTCCAAAGAAAAATTGTATGTATAAAATAGCTTTTATTTATAGTATATATAATCTTAATTAACATTTTATTATTAAAGCAATGATCAAGCAATTTATAGATGATGTAAATTGGGGAGAATTAGATTATTTAATTATTGATACACCACCTGGTACATCAGATGAACATATTTCAGTAACCGAAGAATTATTAAAACACAATGTAGATGGTGCAATTTTAGTAACCACACCACAAGGTGTATCAATTTCGGATGTTAGAAAAGAAATTAGTTTTTGTAATGCCATTAAATTACCAATTATTGGTATTATAGAGAATATGAGTGGTTATGTTTGTCCCCATTGTTCAGTATGTATAAATCATTTTTACGATTTTTTTGGTTCCATTAACTAACCAAACCATTTATTTAGGAATGCACAAATATATTTTCTTCAGAAGGTGGTAAATTATTAGCTGAACAATGTAATATTAAATTTTTAGGAAAATTACCAATCGATCCAAATCTATCAATTTGTTCCGAAAGAGGTATAAATTATTTTAAAGAATATCCAAACTCATCCACCCTATCAGCTCTCAAAACTTTTGCCGAAGCATTAAACAATTAAAGATATATAAAAAAAAAAAAAATTTGTAAATTATAATTTTTTAGTTTTCATTTCTTAATATAACATAAAAATTTTTTAACAAAACAATAAATATAATTTTAAAATTTTAATAAATCAACTATTGTTGTAATTTATTTATATTTCATGCTTTAATTTAATTTTTGTGCAACATGTCATTATTACATTTTATTGTATAATTTTTTAAAAAAAGTTCATAGTTTTTTAAAAAAAATAGTTTTTTTTTTTTATTTTATTTTTTAATTTTTAAATTTTTTTTTTTTAATTTTTTTTCGTAATAATTTTTTTAAATTTTTTCATTTTTTTTTTTTTTTTGTTAAAACTATTTTTTTTGATCATTATTGCCAAATTATTTTATTTTATTAATAAAATAAATTAAATAAAACAAAAAAAGATGGAATTTGCTGGAACAGCCGATGTTGGTGCTGAAGAAGTTGTTGTTGAAAGTAAACCAAATAGAATCACAACATTTTTATATGACAAAATTCCATACCTTAAAACATTAGCATATCCAGGAAAAGCAGACGATACTATCAACGAAGCAAAAGGTAAGATAATGATTTAGAAACAAACATCATTTTTCAATTAACCAATCACAAATCACCATCATTAATCAATCAATGTAGTTATTTAAATAAATAATTCAACAATACCACGCACCTTGGCATATAAAAAAATTTTTTAAAAAAATCAAACACAGCTTATGCAACTAATAATAATAATAATTTCAAAGATAGTTAAATAAACATATAGCAGTCTTTTATTTTAAATTCAAATTTTAAGAAAAAATAACTTACCATTATTTTTTAAAATATAATATTTTAGGTATTGTCAGCGATGAAACTTTTGAAGGTTGTAAAATTGGTTTTGCATTTAGACCATCACAAAGTTTCGAAATGGGTCACCAATTTAATGTTTATACTATGAATGAAAACAGTCGTGTTCCAAGATATGCAGGTCAAGTTGCTTTTCAAAATCCAGGTACTCTTTTATTCTCAAAAATAGACAGTGAAAGAAGATTATCCGGTAGATTTGATCAATCATTCTACGATGATACTATCAACCTCTCATTCTCAAACTCTGTAATTATCACAATATTATTTTGAAATTATTCATTTTTGTTTCGTTCGTTTGTTCGTTTGTTTTTAATCATTTTATTAATAAAATTATTTTTTTTTCATTATTTTAGATGGATAAAGATTTAACAGCTAATATTTGTTATGAAGTCGATTTTAAATTACCATTTTCTCATTTCTCTGTAAGTAAAACATGTTATCATTAAAAAATAAATTAGTATGGTAATAATAAATAATTAATTATTTTTTTTTTTAATGGAAACTTTAGTTTAAAGGTGATAATGAAAACACTAGAGCAGTTTCATTTTTTACATCAATTTCAAAAAGACATGCACTTGGTTTTGAAAATACTTATATTGGAGCCCATAATGTTTCAATTCTCGCTTTACATTATGGTGTTAGAAATCAAAGATCAAACTTCCACATTTCAGCTACATCCAACTTTCAAGTTTTAACCAGTTTCCTTTATAAATATAATCACTTACATGTTGCCACTGATTTAATGTTAGGTCTCACTCAAGAAGGTAAAATTGGTTCAGAATTCAGCATTGGTGCTAGATACTTTTTCAGAAATAATATTCTTAAATTTAAAGTCGATACAAGTGGTGGTATACACGGTTCTTACGATCAAATGATCAATAATTTTACTAAATTTTCTTTATGTACATCAATCAATTATTTTGAACGTGATTATAAATATGGTCTTGGTTTTAACTTTTCAAAATAAAATTTTGAATTTATATTAAAAAATAATTAATTTAAAATAATAATAAATAAATAATAAAACAATAACAATATAGTTGTAAACATTTTTTATATCTTTTTTTTATTTGTTTTTTTTAATTTTTAATTTTTTTTTTTTTAATATTAAATTTATTGATAAAATTAAATAAATAATAATAAAGGTAGAAATAATAGTTTTATAATTTACAAATTATAGATATAGTAATTATTATTACTAAATCTATTAAAATTTTATTATATTTTTTTTTTATTTTTTTTTATGTTTTTAAAAAAAATTAAACCAATTTGGAAAAAGAAAGATTGAAAGATATGTATAGATTATTAAAATAAGATATACATATAAAAGTTCTATAATATAAATTTAATTTATATTATTTTTGTTGAGATATTATTATTATTTTACTGTATTATTATTAAAAAAGATAAAATAATTATTAAAAAGGTGGAAGAAAATATAAATATTTAATATTTATAATTATATATATAAAAGATGAATATTTTTTAAGCAACCCAACCGGTTTGAGTTGTAGTGAATGGTTTGTCTTTGTTTGATTGGGATGATGTATAATCACAACTGCCTCTTCTTCTAGATTGTATAGGAATTGAACTTTTTAGTGGTGAGTTTGTAGAGTTATTTGTATTATTACTATTATTATTATTGTTTGAATTATTGTTTGGGTTATTTACATTGTTATTTGAAATAAAAGATACTAATGGGTTAATTTGGTGTGATAAGTTTTGAGAGGATGACGATGATGAGGAAGAGGAGGAGTGTTTTATATTGGTATATGGGTTTGTTGGGGCAGATGAAGCATTGTTTTGATGTCCAGATGAACCTTGGCTACTATTTATATTTTTATTATCATTATTTGCTGGTGTTATTGAGGTTGATATGGTTTCTGGTGAAATTGTATTGCATGATATTTCCATTTTAATTTTGGCTCTTTCAACTTCTCTTGCATATTTATTGAATTCATCAAGTGAACAATTTACAGTATAATCCATCATTGATAAAAATACAACTTCTAAACCATTCATTTCTCTTAATGATATACCACCGACTTGACTATAGAATTCGTTGTTATAAAATATATCATCTAAATATTTGGTACTAATTAAAAGACTGGTTATTACTAATCTATGAATATTCATAGAGTTAACAATTAAATCGCATTTCTTGAGGAATCTATCGATATATACTAAGCTCATTACAAAACATTCTTTTGAGCATGGTGAATACTTTAATAAACGTGCGAGATAAGCATCAATTCCAATGGTTGGTGGTTTTCTATTTGGTGGATAAAATTCTCTTCTTTCATTCTTGAACTTTAATTAAAAAAATAATTAGTAATTGAAATGGTTATTGTTTATACTATATAAGTATTATTATATAAACTTACACTATCGCCATTTGTTATTAATTTATTAATTACAGTGCATAAAACATCCAATAAGACATTGTCTTTTGTATCCCTTTTTGGAATTATTGGGCTATACTTTGGAAGATCTTTTGATAAAATTTCATATATAGATTCACAATTCATTTTTGTATTTATAATTATATTTTATAGTAGTTTTATATTAAACAATTGATTTTTTGATTATATTTATATTTATTGATAAAAACTTTATAGAGAATAAAAAATTATTGTTAATATATTATAAATTTTTATGATTTAAAATATAATTATAAAAATTTTTAAAAATTTAAAAAAACAAAATAAAAAAATAAAATTTTAATTTATTATTAATTTATATTTAATTATTATTATTATGATGTTTTAAATTTATAAACTAAAATAAAATAATAAAAAAAAAACACTTGATATTGTTTAAATATTTTTTTTTAATTATTTTATTTTATTTTATTTAATTTATTTCTTGATCAATATTTAAAATTTTCGGTTATTATTATTTATTACTTTAATATAGACAACAATTAATCAACACACACTCACCCCTTTAACACACATTAATTTTTAGACAAGTACATAATTTTATACATAAAAGGTGAAAAAAAAAACACATCCAAACACTTTTTATTATTTTTTTTTAATAAATTAATTTATTATTTTTTTTTTTTTTATTTTAATATTTTTTTATGTTACAGATGAAAACTTATTAAGAAGAGGCAAAAAAAATAAACAAATATATTTATATATATTTATATATAAATAAATAAATATAATATTATTAAATGTACATCTTTATATCATAATTTAATTATTATTATTTAGTGAGTTGAAATAAAAGAAAGATTATTATTAGGTGAGAATTTTGAAACCTTTTTAAAATGGTTAATTTAACACACATATATAAAAAACTTTAGAAATGATCGAGTGTGTATTTTATGATAGAGGTGGGTGATGATTTTTATAAAAATATTTGTTTTTTTTTTTTATTTATTTCTTTTGTGTTTTTATGTGTATTTATACCACACTAATTTTTTGTTTTGTATTTAATCAAACAAAATATAATAAATTATAAACTATTAAATTATTTTATAATTGATCCTTATAAAGGGGTGAGATGATGACGATTAAAATTAATATCTGTTAACGAGAAAAAAAAAATTTCACAAATATCACCCACTTATTAATACAAACATACAACACACAATAACAATTTGTTGGTTACTCATAAGATGAGGATGAAATATTTTTTTGATAATTTAAACAAAATGATTTTTTATGATTTTTTTTTTAATATTTTTGAAATGTTAAGTTATTAGATAAGAAAAACAAAAAAAATAATATGTATATATGGTTTTGTGATTTACTTGAATATTTTTTAACATAATTTTAAATGGGGTTTTATTTTATAATGAAAAAAATCCAAATTTAATAGATTTAAATTGAAATTATAAATAAGTTAATTCTATACAAAAAAAAAAAATAAAAATAAAAATGAAAAATGAAAAATAGAATAATATTAACTTTATAATGTGTATGATTAAACAAAAATATAATGAATGTCTGATAAGTGATATTTAATATTTACTTTGTATAGAAATTTGTGTGGATTTGAATATATTTGAGAAGAGATTGATATAATTTATGGCTGTGCCTAAAGAAACAAAAAATAAAACATATATTATTGAATTAATAGCTAGATTTTTTTGATTTTAAAATTATTGTTTATTAAAAATAAAAATTTGAAATTGTTGAATAATAAAATAAAATTTTAGTTAAATATTATTTTATAATTTAAAAAATATAAAAAAAAAAATATAAAATTTAAAAATAAAAAAAAAAAATAAAAAAAAAAATAGATAATGATTAAAACCAACCAAAATAATAAAAAAAAATTTACATATTTAGGGGTTAGTTATATGTTTTTTTTTTAAACATATAAATTTTTTTTTTTAAGTTATATTTAATATGAAATTATGTATAAAGGAAAAATAATTTTTTTTTTTCTCTTTCTTTTAAGAAATAACAAAGGGAGAGGAAAACATTGATTGGTATTATTGAATTAATAGTGGTTTGTTGTTGAAAATAAGTATTAAGTTAAATGTTAACATTGGTGATTTAAGATGATAATAATTATTTTTAAAAAAAAATTTTGTTTTTATTATTGTTATTGTTAAAGTTGGCTGGGAAAGTGTGTGTGTTTGTGTGTTTTTCAAAATAATTGTTATATAACATAAACAAAGATAACACCTTTAGGTTTATTTGTTTGAAAACAGTTATAAAAAAATATATTTTTATAAAAATTTAACAATAAGATGTGCCATAATACTTGTATTATATACATTTTAATATATAAATAAAAAGGTAAGATAAAATATATAAATCGAATAATACCATTTTTTGAATGATGTTTTTTAAAAATTATTTGGGGGTTGTGGTATATCTTATGATTATAGTAAAAAAAAAAGAAATAAATTAATTAAAAAAAAAATATAAGGA